AGTGAAATCGATGTCCCTAAATCGTGCTATGGTATTTGGTGCTTGGGTAACACATGCTTTGCGACGTGTGGTAAAATTCTACATCGAATCGATATGGAGACCAAAAAAGATAAGCCCTTAAAACTGGAAGGGGAAGGAATTTTTAACATATTTGTCGACGATAATAGAATTTATTACACTGACTATTACAGCCTTCATTGCTTATCCCACAATGGACAAGACGTATTTGTTTACAAACATGATAAACTCAGCTGGCCACGAGGCATCGCTGTAGACACAAAAGGTTACATTTATGTAGCAGGGTACAAGTCGAACAACATTCACAAACTCACAATGGATGGCAGATTATTCAAAATCTTGATAACAAAGGATGAAGGCATCCAGAGACCATCGTTTTTGCATTTTGAATGTCACCAACGAAAACTGTTAGTGGCTATTGACGAAGGACGAGCCGTTTTTGAATTTAAAGTGTAATTTTAGAAGCATGTCTGTGGGTGGTAAGGCCTATAAATCTAATAAAATGTATATATATTTAGTGTGTTTTTTTTTTAAGTTTGAGGAAGACTTTCTGTTTTCTACATTAACGTTATAAACTTTCTTCAGTACGTTTTTTTTAAAATTATGATTACTGAAAAGTTCACATAGAAGAACATAGTTCACATAAAAGTACTATGACTATTTGAAGTGCAGCATTTTTTCCGTGGAGTGCAAAATAAATAGGATACTTTGGTTAATTGAAGTAAACTATACAACACAGAGCAGAACTCAAATTGGAGATGCAGATTATATATAAAGGGTTAAACATACATTAAGGATATCATCTACCAGGTGATATTGAAGATCTTTTTTTCCAAGGAGTTGTTGATCAAACATTTTTTGAAATGTCGAAATTGAAGATTAGATCTTTGTCCATAAATTACAGCATAAATAAATCCAAGGAGGAAAATGATATTTCATATTTAGAAAGTATTATGAATCATTCTTCAAATGATGAGGTTCAAAAATATTTATTTGAGGAAAAAAAAATTGAACTAGTAAAATTGTCGAAAAGAAAAGGTTAAAGGCATTGCTGCTTAGATCATGTGCTAACTGGCATAAGAAATAACAAAAATACCGAACTCCAAGGAAAATTAAAATCGGAAAGTCCCTTATCAAATGACAATATCAAAAGCTCAAACACACCAAACGAAAGGAAAACAACTGCATGTCATATTCCATAACTTGGTGCAGGCATTTCCTTATGTAGAAACTGGTGGATTAAACCTGTTTTTTTTTTAGCTAGCTAAGCCACCACTTGTATGACAGTCGCATAAAAGTTTTCAAATTATTTTTTTTTAAACGAAACTAAGAGCTGAAAAAGGTCAACATATATCAGAGCAATTAAACATTCTGATGGAACAACGATTTTTTTTTATAGAAATGTGTACACTAGCAGAAAATGAAATCGCGATGAATATGTCCCAACTTAAAAATTTCATTGTTCACTTTCAAATTTTAATTTTTAGGGATTTAATTTTCATAAGATTTGAACTGTATTACCGAAATTAATTTTGCCCATAAGATTAAAGAGGTCACTACAATTCTGGAAGGCTGGCACTATCGTAAACTCACGTTATTGGGGAAAATCACAGTAATTATATCACTTGCTGTTTCATAATTGGTCATCACACTCCAGGTTAACAGAACTCACTTTATTATTTTATGATTTTATATGGAATGGAAAACAAGACAGAATTAAGGGTAACACGCTTATTGGTAATAATTCACACGGCTGATAATATGGTACATTTTCATTTCTTAAATTCTAGTATTTGAATATCAGCTGAATAAAAAGACTGCCGTCAAACCCTGATGGTTGCTAGCAGCAGTTGCTACTGGCAGACCTTATACAGTATGGAGATACAAGAGTTTTACATCTACAGAAAGAAAAGCTGATTGAGATTTCTCAAAGATGTAAAAATTCTTTCTTAAAGGATGTTTTAGTCTGCTTTACTTTTGCAAAATACCTAAAACTTGGCGAAGAAACCATTGAACGCCTGTTTTTTAAATGCACAATATCTTTTCAATTGTGGCAGTCTTTTTCAAATATTGTAAAAAAAGTTATAAACTTGGTTCTCAAAAAGGAGAATGTGTTTCTTGGTTGCAAACATGAAAGTTATCTGTTAGTCATAATTACAAAGAATTATATATATAAATGTAAATGAAATGAAACAAAACCAAATATGGTTGAGTTAAAGAATAGAATAAGAATAAAGAAATACCAATTTCTTGAATATCATATTGCAAAAAAAAAGTCCAAGTTTGTGAAAAAATTTGGTCTCCTTTACAGGTAATATTTATTTAATATCGTTTCATATTATCTATTTTTTAGTTAAGTGAAAACAAAAATGTATAGACTATGAGCAAAGTTGTATGCTTGTCTTTGAAATAATTGTTTTAAAAAGTAAGTCCTGATACATATTGTAGCAAAACAGATGAGTGAAAAGTATTAGAATTGTATGAGAGAAAGTCAGAGAGAGGGTTTAATCAAATATTTATATATATAACCTTAAATACTATAATTATTGTTAAATTAGTCCAATTAGTCAGCGATACATATTGAATACTGCATTATTTTTTTTATTTAACCCCTTGATACCTTTGTCAGGTGGTAATGTATGGGGGTATGTGAAATCCTGACTATTGAAAAATAAATAAAAGTTAAAAAAACGAAAAAAACAAAACAAAAGGTTGATAACTTAAAACTGAGCATCGCGAACCCCCACCAAAAACTGGGGGAGATCTCGGGTGCCCTTGAAGGGCGAGCAGATCCTGCTCCACATGTTGCACCCGTCGTGTTGCGCAGTTAAGTACAAACCCGGTGAAAGTCTATCTCGATAGGTCACACGGGGATTTAACTAAAATATTTCTGATCACATGACGAAAGTCATGGATGCCGAATAATGCAATCCTTTGGAAAATTCTGTGTATCTTAGACCAAATTGACCAACAATGACATTTTCAAACAAATTCGTTGTTCGAAGTAAATTTACGTATTGTCTTTACATAAATTCCGATTTTTACAAAAAACATGTAAAATTTGCAATACTGCATCAAAATTGTTTTCAACAGAAACGTAATAACTGAATTACCCTGTCAGCGCACCCGGTCTCACTTCTTTTGGTGTACATGTGATGCCCTCAATCTTTTTGTTTAACTTGATTTGTTTTAATTTATTTATGGATTTGAACATCGATAAACTGATGTTGCCTAAATTGACATATTTATTTTAAAGCTATATGTATAACATTTGGAAAAAATTTTAAAAGTTTTTTCCATTAAGACTATAATATTCATATTCCCGTAGATTATCGAAAACGTTCCTTTTACGTTCCTGCAAGTAACAAAAAATACAGGAAAAGTTGGCCATGACTCTCACATAAATCACTTCTTTAATACGATATATCTTTTTAAATGTGTGCAATGAACAATTTAAAAGTTTGCTTGTTTGTTTTAAGGAATGGCGAACTCATTATTACGGCATAGTTTCATGCAATGATGGTTATACTAAGCCAATCAAATTCTTGAACAGGTAAAAAGGGAATGACCGATGAAACCTGCTTAACTAGTTCATTTCTATGTAAACGGTTACATTTTTTTGCACTAAGTACACAATCAAAAAGGGACTAGGTTGAAATGACGATACTAAAATAAAACAGTATGCGGAGCTCAATATGTCTTTTGATTTTTATTCTTTGGATAGCTGCCACAACAATGTTCACTTATTTTTTCGTTTATGCATATAGAAAACGTGATAAAAATTTGGGCGGAATGAATTCATTATTTTTCAGACGGTAACGAAGTGAAACAAGTGAAACGAATATTATGTAATGCAGCAAAAATCAATATACATTTAACACTGACATATCTCCCAATTGCTTTAATTAGTAATAGAGAGTTTATATTCATATTTCCCTTTATCATTATGTCAAAGCTAAAGAAGAGCAATGAACTTTTAAACTGAGGTCAAAGTATAATAGAAAATGTCGGATACACATGTACACCATATAATGAATGAGCATACCCAATTTGTCAACCTACATGGTAATGTTTTTGAAAAAGACCTTTCAAAACTTTTATTCTGACTAATTTGGTGCGAAAATGAAAAGAAGGTCATATTATATCCTTTTGGAAACGACTAAGGAAATCGATAGCTAGGAAAAACTTCTAAATATCTGATGTCATTGTCAAATTTTGGAGCTACATTGACCAATCATCACCAATCAATCAAACAAACTTCGAGAAGGCATATTGTAGTAGAATTTTCAAATATGCATCTGAATTGTAACATTCAATACTACGGTACTGACATGCTTTATAACGCACATCTTTGCTAAAATTTTCCGTTTTTAAATTTGTAAAGTATAAAGAAACTAATGTTTCAACACCCTCAAGCAAAGTTGACCTTAGATTGATTTTGCTATTATTTAAGGTAGCCTTTTATCACACAGCTCTTCAACTGTTTCCGTTCGTATGAAACCTTGGCTTTCAAATATTCGGCTTTGAGTGTTCCTGATGAAGGTAAACCCAGAAATACGTTTCGGACACATGATATTTATAAAGCGTTGTTTTCATTCTTTCACTGATATTCAATGTTGTGCATATTCTCCAAATCCTCTAATTTAACCACAATTTTCTGTATGATACGGACAATTTAAATTGGATATAATATGTTTTTCACTGTGATATTTTTATTTTCTACTTAACAAAATATCATTTCATACAATGATATATCCTTAAAAAGCATGAAACTACTATAACACATAATGCAATTGCGATGGATGTCTTACTCTCCATAACAATATTCATACAAAAGCAAAAATGTCTTGTAAATTAAATGAACCTTGCTAAAACATAGCACCTCAGGTTTCTTATGCATTTGACATTAACATACAATTAACTATTTGACTTCATATGAAACTGGAAAAAACATAAATCTTGTAAAAAAAAAAGAAAGTGGAATCAGTCAAAAAATATAATTATATACTCAAAATGAGACATTCTATCAAAACAGAGGGATTAATTATAACAGGGAATAAACTTTCACAGATTGTACCTGTAATGATGGAAATAAAAAAAAATGTGTTTTTTTGTGTATTTAAATAACTACTCCATATTCCTTTACAGATTTTGACCCTCACAGAACATGACAAATTATAAACTTTGATCGTTTGAAGATATGTGGTATGAAAATTAAAAATATACTTGCTCACTCATTATCACTTTGGTGTTTTGTATCTGCAAGATAGTCGAATGATATTAATCATCAAACGCCTACTTTTTCGCTAGCGTTAGCATCAAATTACAATCATATGTCAAATTGAATATAGAGCTTTCACAAGCGTCAATTGAAAAAAAAACAACATAACTACATGATACATTAACGTAATGTTAGCAAAAATAATTATTGTAAATTTTCGTGTAATGGTGCCCCTTTCAATACCTCAAGAAAGCCAAAGTTAAAGTTGGTTTCAGTACATATCGCCCTTATTTCGTCATTACGTTTGTTTCGGTTTTGCCTCAATCATGTTTTCTCTAAATTGTTATATGTGTTCCGTTCAAACTGTTGGTTCAGCATCTTCTATTTGAAATGTTAGTATTATTTATTTGAATTTTTTTTTCTTTTCCAAAAGTAATTCTTTTGAAGTGAAATATTGTCTCTTTTTTTTTTTTATTAAGTACACTACGGAAATTCAGCATTTGAAAATTTACTAAGTAGAACCATATATTAAACAATTTCTAAAAAAATATGCAATATTTCCAGTCAACTAAGCTTTTACCTATGAAGCCTTTGTAAGAAAAATTGTCAGTTGGCACACGAGCTCAGTATAAGATTCAAAGGACTATCAAATTCTGTTGTTTACACAAGTATGTAAATGGAGTTGTAAAATTATAATTTTGATTGTTCATGTTAACCATTTTGTTTCTTCATTACGGTTGGCAATAAACCTGAAAGTATAAAAATGACTAAAGGTAAATGCAATAAAAAAAAGTTTTGGTCGCATGGGTACCCGATTAAAAGGTTATTAAAGAAAATGATGTCATTGTCCTTAAATTAGCATCTTCATTTACTAAAATGATCTAACATGAAAATAAGGAAACTATCCACCAATGCAAGAACCAAATGACAAGAATTTAAACAACCATTACCTGTGCGGCCTTCAACAATGAGCTATCATACCACATCTTAATTGCTATTTCATGTTCCATTCTTAATTGTTTTGCAACAGCAGGACATATTAAAAATCTTTTATAAAACGACAGATAACTGACAGGTTATTTTATTGGATTTCAAATACATCGTTGCTTGTGTTTTGTGCTGGGCCAGGTTATAGGGATTAAATGTTGTTCATATATCTTGCTATAAAAGAGACTGTTAGCAAAGAAACCTCATGGATTTTAAAACATGCAAAGCATAAACCTTTTAAAGATAGAAAAAAGATGATTTTTGTATCTCATATGTATTCGTTACCTTTTGCCTTAGTTGCCATGACATTTTTCACCCCAATTGCAGTACGTAATATTCTTTTGTGCATCAACTCCCGAACACCAAATTCAATGGTACAGCCGAACATTGTTAACAAACCCAGATATCCAATACACTTTCCATATCTTCTATTTGTTTTATCTGCAGAAAAAAAATTTGCTAAACAATTAATTCCAATTCTAGTGAAAACAAAGATAAATATTTTTTCTTCCTGATCAATATACTTGAGGACAAAAATGAAATACTTTTTTTTTGGGGTCAAATCTTAACTGTCTTTTAACCTCGCCATGGAAAAGGTTTCTCCATAGGACAAACTTAGAGGACACATTTCTTTTACTGCTGCTGGATGTTTAACAATATTAACGACCCAATATAATTACATAAACGGTACCAATTTTGCTGCACCAGATGCGCATTTCGACAATCAATGTCTCTTCAGTGATGTTCGAGGCCAAAATATTTGAAAATCCAAAGCTTATTAAAAAGATGAAGAGCTATACACCAAAAAGGACAAAAAAGTAAAGCTAAATCCGGGCAAGGAATCAGAGCTTATCATGAGGTAGATACATTCCTTAATTTTTAATAATTTCCAACATTTTGTAACTGCAAATTTAATAACACAAAATCCATATTTTCATGACCGTACCGAAGTACTGGCTACTGGGCTGGTGATACCCTCGGGGACTATCAGTCCACCAGCAGAGGCATCGACCCAGTGGTAGTTATAACATAAACGGTACCAATTTTGCTGCACCAGATGCGCATTTCGACAATCAATGTCTCTTCAGTGATGCTCGAGGCCAAAATATTTGAAAATCCAAAGCTTATTAAAAAGATGAAGAGTTATAAATCAAAAAGGACAAAAGAGTAAAGCCAAATCCGGGCAAGGAATCAGAGCTTTGCATGCAATTCAACATACCATCACTACAGTAACCATATACATAAGTCACTTGTCCTAAAATCCATACCCCTCCAGCTGAAGCACAGATTTTCTGAAATTAGACATGAGTATAAAACGTAGAAAAAAAAAATGTTCATCTGGCTTTTTATTTAATGGCGAAAAAAGGATGAGTATATATTATTAGGCGTGACAAAATGATAACTCTAATCCATAAAAAAATTATAAATTCATCATTCTCTTCACTATGAAAGCTTACACCGCATCTATGAAAGTGTTTTTTAGGAACTTGAATGGAAATATATAAGACTATGCAATGAAAAGCTAGATAAAGATCACAACGGCAACATGTTAAAAAAATTAAGTTAATAATTAGTCAAACATTTCTGAAGATATGAAATCAAGTATGATCTCCAAAACTGTGACGTACAACTAATGTATGTAGACTCAAGTGATAAATCAGTATTATTAAAAACAGAATTGAAATACAATATAGACATGAATCAAGAAATCTTTACATATGGAAGATGATAAAACAAGGTTTATTTCCAGCACAGAAAATTTCAAATATGCTGTCTTTTTAAAAGGCCTGTTACCAAATTGATTATTATTATTGGTATTGCCATATTTATAAATTAACTGTTCACAAAACTTCCTCTTGAATTGTTAGAAATACTAAGCATTTTCTATCCCCAAAATAGATTACCATGGCTGTAATTGGCTCAATCTTTTTTTTGTTTTCAATGCATTTCAACCTACTGGTAGTTCTCTATTTGAGATTTTAACTTTTTTTATTCTAGCGTCACTGATGAGTCTTTTGTAGACAAAAAGCGCGTCTGGTGTGAAAATTATAAGCCTGGTATCTTTGATGAGTTTGTGAGTTTAAAAACAATAAATATGGAAAAAGTGTATAATGTTATGTTATCTACTTACGGGACGCTGTAAACCTCCAACAAACAACACCATCAGGAATACAGGATAACCCTCCAATCTATAAAAAGGAGATGATGTTCAAATAATGAAGTTATCTTTTTTGGGTTTTGTTCCCAGCGCGTAGCTCCGTGAAGGATACGGCTACACATCAATTATCAGTTACCGTTCGAGAGAAAGCTTTTTTTTCTTCATACTTAATTATTTGGCGTCCTATTCACTTGGCCATGGTATATCGTCAGTTTAATTTGACAATGTTTCACTGGAGTTATGCGACTTCCTGTTGTTTTTTTTAGTATTGTTACAATTACAACTTTGGAACTCAACTCCTCTGAGTCCTTTTATCGTATACTCGTATACTTATTAGGATTGTTTGCAATCATGTGTAAACCTTATTGCACCGCAATTTTATGAGTATTGTGACATATTGTGAAACATTGGGCAAACGACTTCTCTTGAGTCCGTTTAGCAGAAAGTTGTCATACTTGGTACTGTTGTGTTGAATCGTTTGCAATTGACTTGATTTAATAACTTCCATGTAAACAGCAACCCTCTATCCAAGAAATGTGTTATAGGGATAGGAAATGCAAGCTCTGGAATATCATATCAATTGGGAGATATATACTACATAAGCAGGTACTGCTTGAATGTTGCTTCACATAAATGGTAAGTTCACAATTTGTATATTTTATATACTTATAAATGAGCCTTATGCGAGTTTAGTAATATAATTTTAATTAAATTACGAGATTTGATATCAAGCGATATCCAATTGTCATGAGTTGTTAATATAAATACGAATATGTGGTATGAGTGCCAATGAGACAGCTCTCCATTCAAGTCACAATATAAAAAAGTTAACAAGTATAGGTTAAAATACGTTACCCTATTTCTCTTATTGGCAATGTTATCGTTATGTGTAACCCTCTTGATTACCAGTAGTTTTATATGTGCCAGAAAATACGACAGCTGGACGTCAATGACTTCATCCGATAGTAGCCTTCGCGCCCTAATGACGTTACATTTGGGATCCATTGACGAAAAATATTACACTATTTTGTTTTTGAAAAAAAACCAACAATCTCTGCACTCGGGGATATCACTTTACCACTTTACCACGAGACCAAAGAGTCGGTTTAAAAATCATTTTTACATATAAATGGAGAGAAAAACTTTTCAACATTAAGAAACTTATAAACAAGGGAACTTTAATCTCAAAATCATTTCAGATGTCTTTAATGTTATGATGACTGTTTAGTGCTCCATTATATTTAAGCAGTGATGGACAGGGTGTAGCTTCTAGGAATTGATACAAATAGTTTATGCTGATTTTTACGTTTGTGTGATAATTGTACTGAAGAGATTTTGACTCTAATTTAACTTGAATGCAATCCACTTGAAATTAAGTCACCTGCTTACATAACTATTTGTTTTGAAAAAATAAAAAAAATAAAACTGAAATAAACACATTTTTTGGCATTTGTTTTTCAGAAAGAGTACACAACTCCTTCCTGTCAAGTGCATGGCAAAGACAAATGAATTATCATTTCTTTTCTTGGCTTTCAAGTTGGCCAAAAAAGACTGATTGAATTCATACCTGCTGCAATTGAGGTGACCAAACTACCAGGAGACAACCGAAATTATTGATTAAAAAAATTACAAAATTGCAAATAAATAATCAATGAAGAAACCAGTGTCTTGCGCAGGTAAATGGATATATACTACAAACTATTTTAATGATGCAATCATCACAAAATTATTTATACGTACATGTTCTGATGGGCTCTAACAACACAGTTCAGTTTTTCTTTCCCGGGATGATACAGACTTGGGTACTGAAAGAAGAAAACGTAGAGTGTTAATTTGTTTTTTATGTTACTTCTGTGTTAGTTTTGTTGCTGTACACAAATATTAGTTTACCTAAGTATGTTTACATTAAATTTAAATATAGTTTGAGGCAAAAAAATATTCAGCTTGTTATTATTTGCACAGAGCTGGTGCGGTATATGATTTAACATTGCCTTTCAACGTTGAAATACTTAAATCATTCAGGTGTTTTTAACTGCCAAATATTTTCCGTTAAACAAATAACCCAACAGTATATATATATATATATATATTCCATCTTCATGCCTTATATATCATATACTGTTTTACGACGCTAGATAAAAACTGACGAGGAAAGGTAACACCCGGCCACCGAAAGCTTGATTTTATCGAGCCAAGGTGGTCGAGTGGTCTAGCGCGCCAGGCATAGTGCAAGACGATTTGGTGCCACGATATCTCAGTAGCAGGAGTTCGAATCCCGGGCAGGGAAGATAAAAAATTTGCTTCCGGAAATTTACAGATCTAACATTGTTTGGTTGTCATTTAGACGAATTATATATATATATATATATATATATATATATATATAAACAAGTCTAAATTGAAAACAACGTTCAAACCTATGATTGCGTTGGATAAAAACCGCAATTTTTATACGTGTGCATGTAAAACAAATTTCTTGGTAGAGGGGTCTAAATACAGCACAAACAACATTTTCCAAAAGACCAAAATAGTGAAAAAGTATATTTTAACAAAACGCATTTGACTAACAGGTCGAACAACGGATGTTCTTAAACCCTGCTGACTGCCATTGGCGATTGCCAAATAAATTGATCACCAGTACAAAATGGATCTTAATATTAATTTAATACCAAACAGAATATCCGGATTTCGACAATTAATGTCTCTTCAGTGATGTTAGGGATCGAAACGGTATTTGGAAGGCCATATAATTTACCTCAATTTAGGATAGACTCTTGAATTTTAAAGAGTCGAAATAGGATGAACGGATCATATAAACCCGAAGGAAAATATAATACAAGCCCAAACGGAAAAATATAAACAAGTCTCAATTGAAAACAACGTTCAAACCTATGATTGCGTTGGATAAAAACCGCAATTTTTATACCTGTGCATGTAAAACAAATTTCTTGGTAGAGGGGTCTAAATACAGCACAAACAACATTTTCCAAAAGACCAAAATAGTGAAAAGTATATTTTAACAAAACGCATTTGACCAACAGGTCGAACAACGGATGTTCTTAAACCCTGCTGACTGCCATTGGCGATTGCCAAATAAATTGATCACCAGTACAAAATGGATCTTAATATTAATTTAATACCAAACAGAATATCCGGATTTCGACAATTAATGTCTCTTCAGTGATGTTAGGGATCGAAACGGTATTTGGAAGGCCATATAATTTACCTCAATTTAAGATAGACTCTTGAATTTTAAAGAGTCGAAATAGGATGAACGGATCATATAAACCCGAAGGAAAATATAATACAAGCCCAAACGGAACAATATAAACAAGTCTCAATTGAAAACAACGTTCAAACCTATGATTGCGTTGGATAAAAACCGCAATTTTTATACGTGTGCATGTAAAACAAATTTCTTGGTAGAGGGGTCTAAATACAGCACAAACAACATTTTCCAAAAGACCAAAATAGTGAAAAAGTATATTTTAACATCACTGAAGAGACATTAATTGTCGAAATCCGGATATTCTGTTTGGTATTAAATTAATATTAAGATCCATTTTGTACTGGTGATCAATTTATTTGGCAATCGCCAATGGCAGTCAGCAGGGTTTAAGAACATCCGTTGTTCGACCTGTTAGTCAAATGCGTTTTGTTAAAATATACTTTTTCACTATTTTGGTCTTTTGGAAAATGTTGTTTGTGCTGTATATATATACATATATATATATATTGCAGATCAGCTGTGCGATTTGAGTGATTCATCAAGTTACGAATACAATGTGTACCAATAACTTCGAATAAATGAAATTTTAGAGAATTGTCCACCACCAGATAACATTTTTAATGGATGTATGTAAACATTTCGTAGAATAATCATTGTGCACTTATTAAACTCTTTGATATCAAATTCATAACTTTCATATTTTGACCTGCGGAGAATGGTAACACCTATTTTGTATTTAGGTGTGGTTTCAAGTCATATGCTAATATGATTTGTATTGTCGTATGATTAAGCTTTTTCAAAGCCTTTGTAACTGGTTAGTATAACATGAAGAGTGTTTTTTTTATAAACTGACCTGGGATTTGTAGAAGAAAATTAGACGGATTTAAAAATAAAGAAAAGTAAACTGACGACAACACTAAAAAAAATTGCTTTATTGGTCAGGTCAGTAATACGATCTAATATAAGTATTATTAACACAGAATAATTTGTTGCTGTTTTTCTTGCCATGATCCGTATTGAAATATTCTATAAATGTTTTAATTATTATACAATAAATATCCATACTTCGATATCTTTAACTTTTCTTCTCGTATTAAAAACTCTGAACATCGTCCACTGTAGGAGGAGTGCACTTCCAACTCCTGTCAAAACTACATATCCATACCCTTGTGGAAACTTTGAAACCACTGCCATCTTTTAAAAAAAAAATTGTTAATATTGCTTTTTAAAATGTTAATTGAAAGTATGCCATACTCGAATTTCATATATTTTTTTTGCAACAGTGTTTTTGTAGGTAATTAAATTTAACAAATTTACACCCAACACCAGTCAAGACGACTTATTTTTATTCTCTTGGGGAAAAATGAAAACACATTATACAATTCATGCGTTATAAAACTGCCTAAATGACTGTGAATGTTTAAAGCATCTAAATATAACAACTCTAGCCCTTCTACGACTATTCTGTAAGCAGAATTCTTTTTGAAAACTAACCATTGTATCAAAACTTTACATTGATTTAAAAACATACTTATGAATCGTGAGAAATATACGATAAAAAATTATATAATTTCTATCGGTTAAAAACCCTTTTGCTCTCAATGGTGGATGACTTACCTGAAATAAACACAAATATCAAAAACGCTTTTAAATGAATGCAGTCTACACAGAATCAAAAATTGTGTCAAGCTTTGGTAAAGATTTGGTTAAAGCAAGCTTCACTTGATACCGAAACGCATAGACGTATTAACGAAATCAATATGTGTACCATACTATATATTTACCGGTCTTAAACAGGCATATAAAAATCAGCCAAAAATGAGCAAGGGAAAATAAATCAAAATGCTGAATTATTTTGTACAATGTTGGACAATAAAAAAGTGTTACAAACATTACCGAACTCCAATGTAAATTCAAAAAGGGGGAAGTCCATAAAAACTGACAAAATCAAACTGTAGACTATGTCAACCAACAGAACGAACGGAAAACAACGGCCATATTAATGAGTTGGCACAGGCATTTTCCGGAACAAAGAATCATATAGAGAAATGGAGAAGGCAGTCATTTTCGGTTTATTATTTTTAGATAGTAATGGAAAAGCCAATCAATAATTTAAAAGAATATTTATAATGCTTAAAGTTTTCTCTCGTCACTTGTATAATATTCATATGCATTTATTGTAACTGTTTTATTCTCTACACTGTTTTATTCTCTACGGGAAACAAGTTTGCTATTATTCATAATTATTTTGAAGTTAATCGGATTGACAAGTCATCATCCATTATCCCGAATTTGCAATTTACTTGTCCGCTCTTGGACAGTGTTGGACTGATAGTCCCGAGATTATCCCTATAGCTCAGTAGTCAGTGCCTACGTTCTGACATGATTCATAACATATACAAGTAATACATTATTCGTTGAAAAATATTAAAATATAAATTACAGGAACAACAGTTCTCATGGTACTCTGACAACACACAGACTCTTAACTGCTTTACACGTGTTATCTGTATTAGTAATGTTTACTGTTGTAATATAATATCTTGATGTGTAACTTGTAATAAAGTGTAGTTTGAAATAAGTCTTGAATGAATACAGACCTATATATATATATGCCCCATGCCAGAATATAACACCATTGTATACCTTGCTGAAATCTGTTAGCAGCATATGGCAAAGAAAGGAAATCGATGAATATTTTAGACAGGGATTCCGGAAAACATTAGATAGTTTGTTCTTTTATGCTTTAAAATGCTTAACGTGGCTAACTTTCAGTTGCCGATATGAACTTTGTAACGGGTATTAAGATGATCAAAGAAGCCAGATCATTTAATTTCATATTCAGATATATTGATGATGTTCTTTCCATTAACAATCCAAACTTTTCTGATTGGGTTCCAATAGCATATCCTCCAGAACTAGAAATTAAAGAAACAAAAGACACGGCTTCCTCCGACTAATTTTTAGACATATACCTCGAATTTGACATAAGCGGTCATCTCAGTACCAGAATCTATGACAAACCAGACGATTTCAATTTTGAAATTATCAATTTCTTCCACCTTAGTAGCCATATACCACTTTCACCTGAATATGAGATATACATTTTCTAACTCATTCAGTTTTCAAGAGCTTGCAGCTGCTACTCAGACTTTATAAAACGTCGAGCAGAAAGTTGATGAATCAGGGTGATGTCAAAGAACGTCTCGTTCTTTTTCTAAAAAAGTTCACCAGAAGACGCAAAGACCTTGTTGATATATTCTGTATCAACTTCAAAAATAATACATGATGGTCTTGAAGTAAAGATTGTAGGTACTGACGTTGTTTATCGTCTTAATTACGTGTTATAGTGTTCTTCTATGTGTCTTTGTAAATTACCAACCTTGAATGTTTAATCCATTTTTTTGTAATATACTTTTGGCGTGGCTCGGTTCCGGCCATTGTGTAATTGTGCTATAGTATTTTTTTTTTGTATTATTTTATTTCATTTTTGCTTATACACTTTGTCTATATGCAATTTTGTTTTTTGTTGTTGACATATTTGTTTGTTGTTATTATAGTGATTAAGGTTATAACACAATGTTGACTGCAGTACCCTTATTTTTGACATTTTTACCTGTTATGTATGTTTGCTTTGTTCACACATTGTTGTCAATATAATGGAATTTATGCGACTGTCATACAGGTGAGAGGTTTAGCTAGCTATAAAACCAGGTTTAATCATTTTCTACATAAAGAAATGCATGTACCAGGTCAGGAATATGACAGTTGTTTTCCATTCATCTGATGTTTTTGAGCTTTTGATTTTTCCATTTGATAAGGGACTTTCCGCTTTGAATTTTCATTGGAGTTTTTTTGTTATTTAACTTATTAATACATTTATTACCACCGAATTTATTCCTGTTCTCGAATTTGATTTAATAAAACGTTATTCAGAACTACACATTAAAGTTATATAGGAAACAATTCACAATGTCTGGAATCATTATACATGTAATAAAGAATTAAAATTTCATGTGTATTCCTGGCTGGACGCTATCTAACTAAGTATCGACCTGACATGTGAAAACTTACATGCTTGGTTTATTTTTGTTTGGATTTTTTGTGGAATTTGTTGTTGTGTCAGTCCCACACTAAAAGATGTAGTTCCTTTTGTCTTTGTAACAATAAAAATTGTAACAATAAACTGAGAAAAAAAACAAAATTGTTTACATTAAATTATCGAAATTATTATTGTACATGTTGTGTACTCGTCTCATGCGTTATTTTTAGAACGACCTTTTAAATGTGGATGTAGCATTATGTGTACGTCTAGGACGATTAACCGTAATTTATAGATTTAATGAAAGAGGAGCAAACTATTTTTCTTAATAACAAATATTATGTCATAATATTATCTTATGTTAATTGTCCAGAACGCCACAATAATGATCAGTTTACCTCTCCCTGTTTTCTTTACTGGTGGTAAAAAGTTGTTCAAACTGAAAGGAGACCTGGTCTCTTGCGAAGGCGGATGAATGTTCAATGTTGTGTAAAATTAAAACTTGAACGGTCTAACAAATAAACACGATAACGAGTATTTTGTCCTCTTATGTCTCGTATGTCAGAATAGTGACTTTTAAAACAATGATAAGGGGACTATCTCAGGAAATTCGGGGGAGGGGTGAACTGAATAGTTTGGCGTCAGGAAATATGAAAAAAAGCCCACGAGCCCCGTGTAATGATGTTTAGCAAAATTTAACTTAAAATTAAAAACCAGGGAAATGAGGAAAGATACCAAAATGACCAAAGAGGCAAAACACAAGACAGTTTATTCTGGCTAAAGGTCATGACATTCAAGCTGTATTTCAGGTGTAATGGAATAAATATTTGTTAAGATTTGTCAATTTAAATGCATATCTTTAGTATGATTCTATTTCAGATTAGAGAGTTCTTTCTGATGACAACTTCAATATATATTCCCCATTCAAATACCTTATTGTTGGAAAAACATTTACAAAGTAAAATACTCTCTAATCTGTTTGGATTTTGTAACTTATTAAATATTATGTTTCGATATATCATGTTGAATATTGTAATGATATTAACTTAGCTAGCTGCATGCACACAACAAAATGCATTTCAAATAAAACCTTCTCTAGTATTTCTAAATATTTTTTGTTTAATGATATTTGAGCACTCATAAAATACATAAAACAAAAATTATTTCTTAAACAGTAGTTTTTCCAAATACCAAGTATTTGAATGGTTGTATGTATGTTAACTGACTTTTTTTTCATAATGTGCTGTGTAATTTGAATTATGTGATATGTAGACAACATGACATTGATAAATAGCATTTTGTGTAGTTCCCTGCAAGTTTGCAGCAAAAAAGCAGGGAAAAAACCCAAATTTGCATACCAATACTTGCTACAGATCTACAGCAAACACCAATTTATATCTAAATGTTTGCTGCAGGTAATACCGATTCCATTTAAAATTATTCTTGGACTTTCTGCAAAGCTTCAAGTCTTCAGCAAGGTTGCATAAAAAAAGTAAAATAACAAAAAAACCGAACTCCGAGGAAAATTCTAAACGGAAAGTCACTAAGCAAACGGCAAAATCTAAAGCCCAAAACCATCAAACGAATAGACAACAACCGTCACACTCCCGACCCGGTACAGCACACCCCCCCCCCCCCGGAAATAGTCGGGCCATGAGGTCTATTTTTTAACAAAATATGAAAATTTGGAAAAACATTGATTGAATTGATCATAAGTTATTGCATGGAATGGCATAAAATGTTATTTTCCAATTTATTAAGGACCATAACTCCGGTATGACAAATTCAAATTAAAAATCGTCAATACCCAATTTTATCATCAGTAACACCATATTAAAATTGTAAAAGCATCTTAGATGAATTAAAGAATTGTTCATAAGTTTTTGCATGGAAACTGTTGGCAGCCGCCAGCGAACCCCTCGTACTCATTTTAATAACAGGATTTTCCCTGCAGAAAAAAAAACACTGTTAAAAATGTCTCAGTCATAGCTTTTTTGCAAAAATCAGCGCTGAAAAGACCAGTTTACTTTTCTAAGAAGAGCCGAACAGTGACAATGTTTTTTTTTATATAAATATGAGCTTTTTATATCACATGGTTGTATCAAGAAGCTCAGCAAAAGGCTTGGATGATACAAGGGCAACTTGTCACAATGTTGATGGGGATATTCGTCATTAATCAAGGAAATCATTGCCATCCTCAATAGGAGACTCGTGGTTAATCCAAATGCCCTATATTACAATTTGCTTTCCACTGGTTTTCGAATCTCTGTGTGGTTGTGGATAAGCTTTATAGCTTCTATAGTTACTTTCTAGAATCAGGGATCATTCATAAATAAGTTTGTGCAAATGATAGGTTATCTTGAATTGATAAAACCCTCAACTTTTAATATTGTTTCTTAATGTAAACTGTATTCAAATGCACAAAAAATCATTGGAATTTAATTCAGAAAAAAAACTAAGAGATATCAGTCATGCATGTATAAAAGAAATCTTTTTTTTTTATTTTTTAACCCATTTAGAAGTATAATATCATTTCTATAGAGTTCTTTGTTAGTTGCCATTCTAAAGTGGAAACAACACGTTATAAATTCTGAAGCGCTTTTCTTGATTTACCTTCATCAGCAACCTTAAAGCCGAATATTTGAAAGCAAAGGATGTATATGAACCGAAACAGTTGAAGAACTATATGATCAAAAAGGACTTAAAAGTAATAGCCAAATTCATCTAAGGTCAATTTTGCATTAGGGAAATGAAAACTTAGTTTCTTATTAAATCATGTCAGTGCCGAAGTAATGATTAACTGAAGGAAAATCAAACAATATTTATGAGCCGTGAATGATACCAAATGTATTACATGGATAATGACTCGATCTCCCCTACTTGCGAGGTTTATGTAGTCATCGTAGAAGAGATGATATAACGACTGAATATTTGTGTTATGCTCCTCGCCGTTCATTTAAATGAGGCTGTGTGAATAAATCGTGATCTTATTATGAAATAGAATTTGTTCGGTTATCGCAAATTGAACACTGACTTTATATCACATTTAATGCGAAAAGTTATAATTCAATTTTGTCACTCCGCACTGCAACATAAAGACAAACAGTAAGACTATGCAACCTACAATAAAGACCAAAGTTAGGCTTGAGTGTACTCATAATTGTAATTGAGTTTATCAAAATAATGTCCTTTTAATTTGAATAATTTATTTGAATAAATAGCCCTATTTCAGAAATCCCAAATTCAGAATCTCAGAAAATGTGTTAGACTATCAATAAAACATATGAAAAGTGAGATATGTTTGCCTGAAACCCACTCAGGACAAGTGGATTTAAGATACAGTATAACACTAAACGCAGGATTAATTTTAACATTAAGAATGTCTATTAAATCTATTCAGTGATGCCATTAGAATAAAAGTTTAGGGAAATTAATTTGGCGCTGTACATAGAAAATACACAAAACGTACCCTCTATGACCCCCTTAGATTTATATAAAGCAATCATTGCAAAAATTCACAGTATCGCAAATTCATTTTTATTTACTTTTTCATTGACAAATATTTCATGCATAATCAGAAAAGGTGTGTTATTTGATGTTCTTACAAAATGATATAGAAAAACTAGTAATATCATTACGGTTGAAATAAATTCAGTAATTCTTTAATGGAAAACATATTTCGGATTTTTGTACTTTCCCAAAATAGATGGACAAGTTCACCCTTATTGAATGCCAAGAAATCTTTACCTAACATTTTAGACAGAAGCAATTTCAAAGTCATTGAGATGTGCATTAAAGTTTAGTTTAGAGGGAAACAGACTGACACACTGAACACTACATATCTTTCACTAAACTATCAAAGGTCAACTACATTATATATATTTTGTCTTCTATACATGTACCATGATATCAAATCCAATATATGGCAATTGAGTTTTACAACTGAGATCATATGAAGCCCATCTGTTCATACGTTCTCACTATTACGAATCAGTCAGATTTCACACTTACGTACGTGTATCAAAATCTTTTGGCCTACAGCTGGTGTTGGAACATGATGAAAATGTCATATAAATACCTTCTTCAATCCAATTAAGGAAAAAGATGCATAAAAAAAATCAGTCCAATAAAAAGTTTTGTTAACATAAATATTTATATCATGTAATTCATTGAAAAATATTTAAATCATCGTTTTTATCTGTATGAAAATGATTTTTTGTTGGTCAAATCAGTAAAAGATATGGTTCTTCCCAGCGGCACCATTGTATCATTTTCAATGTTTAAATTCCTTTCATTTCAAAAAAATTAACTCATCTACAGCTAAGGATTTAATTTGAGGTGGCATGAATAGATTCAAATGAGGTTGAATTACTGACTTTCAAGCAAATAACACATCAGCAAGATTTTCTGGCTCATTTTGACACAAGGAATGAGCTGTCACATTTACAGCAAACTGGGTTATCTGTATTTTGAAAGGCGCTTTAAACTTTTTTAACCTGCAACATTCTATGCCTATTTTTTTATTCTATCAAGGATCACAACTCCTGAACGCTAAAATTGAAAAATCACCAATATCGATCTTTACCACCATTTTGTCATTAGTAAAACAATATTAAAATTAAAATATGATTGGTTAAACGGTTCTTAAGTCATTGCACAGAAAAGACATAAACTGCCATTTTTCAATCGATCAAGAACCATAACTTCTAAACCTCAAAAGTGAATATCATAGATATAAAACTTGACCTCCAATTTTTCATCAGTAAAAACATATCATAATTTTAAAAGCATTGGTCCGGTGTTTTATAAGTAATTGAAAGGAACGATATAAAGTGCCATTTTCCAATAGATCAAGAACCACAACTACCTGAACCGTAAAAGTAAATAATGTCAATATCGAAGTGGACATCCATTTTCTCATCAGTAACAACATATTATAATTAAAAAACCCTTGGTAGAAGGATTTGTAAGTTATTAAACGGAAACAACATAAAGAGCCATTTTCCGATGTATCAAGGACAATAACTCTTGAAAGGTAAAGTTAAAAATTGTATGTTGAACCTGTCCTCCATTTTGTCATTTTGTTATTAGCATCAACATTTCAAAATTTGAAAAGCATTGGTTGAGTGTTATATATTATTGCATGGAGCAGCTGCCAACCCGCTGCTTACCGCCCACACGCCTTACTTCACCTATTTGATAACTTGATTTTTAGCTTTGGAAAACCCACTTAATAAACTGTAAACACAGAGATATGTCTCGCCTTTTTGTAATTTTGATAATGCAAATGTTGAAATTAAAACAGCAATACTTCAATATGCAAGTTATGCAAATATTCAGTCAATGAAGCATGACTGAAGGTACATGGCTAAACAATCTCCATGGAAATGAGATGTGCCAATGCTAATACAACTGCATACCAAATACCATTGACTTATCATAAGTCCTTCCCTTTAAACAAACCTTAACACAAACATTAACTAGTAAACTATGCAAAAGTTTTAAAGTCAATGAACCATGATGAGGGGTTGGGGCTATATAATATCCATGGAAATGAGAGTTGCAAATGCCAATACATTTTATGCAAAAGTTTTAAAGTCAATGAACCATGATGAGGGGTTGGGGCTATATCATATCCATGGAAATGAGAGTTGCAAATGCCAATACATTTGCATACCAAATATCATACACTTAACATTAGTGGTTCATCTTAAACTGATCTAATCACAAATTAATACATGTAAACTAAGCAAAGTTTCAAAGTCACTGAGGGGGCGGGGCCAAATAATATCCATGGAAGTGAGGTATGCAAATGCTTATACAACTACATACCAAATATTTTTGACCTATTACTAGTGATTCCCAATAAACTTACCTAACCACAAAATAATACATGTAAACTAAGCAAAAGTTTCAAAGTCAATAGACCATGACTAAGGAAGCAGTGCCAAATAATCTCCATGGAAATGAGATGCACCAATGCTAATTCAACTGCATACCAAATATCATTGACCTACCACTAGTGGTTCACCACAAAGTTCGGGCACAAACTAGACCTAATCACAAACTAATACATTGTTGATGCCGCCGCTGGAAACAGCATACCTATGTCTCGCTTTTTGGCTGTCAAGGGGAGGCAAAAATTGAACCAGATGCACTACTTATAAGGAAATATTATTTTGATATTCCTATTTTATAAATGTTTGAAGCCAAAAAAAATCTTATTTTAATTCTCTGTCTAAATTATATCTAGTGTCCCTTTAAGTAGTGAAACAGCCAGGTACTAGATGCAGTGGTGACATGTGATAAAGAATAACCGATTTTAACCCACAATGTTCTTCAGAAAATGCCTGTACCAATTCAGATCAGTTGTTTTCCATTTGTTCAGTTGGTTGATAAAGTCTAACTTTTGATTTTGTCAGTTTGTATGAACTTCCCCTTTTTGAATTTACCTAGGAGTTTGGTATCTTTTTTGTATATTGTTGTTTTAATTCTTGTTTTAATTGCATTTTAACTATATTGTTTACCAGGAACACTGTCAGGGTCTTTATTGCTGTGAAGTAGATATTCAAATGTTGACTTTATATTTCATGTATCCCTGCTGAATCAAAGTTCATCGATTGCCCATAAAGTATGTTGTTATTGTATTGTAGTCAGATTGTATACATCTGAATGTTCATATTTTAGTGATATATTCTGTGGAATAGCTTGAATCTAAAATGTAAACAAAAGGCAGATAAACTCTTTGCTACATTTATTTTTCTACTTAACAAAACAAAATTCATAAGATGTATATATCTTCAAAAAGCATGGCACTAAAAAATAAGACAAAACACAGGCTTACAAAATATAGTCTTACTCTCCAAAATGAAATATAAATAAAAAGAAATGTCTTGCAATTATACCGAGCCTCACTGAAACACATCAGTTCAACTTCAAGGCTTCAACTAAGTTTTTGCACATTTCCCATAAAAATGCTTATCAATAAATATACTAAACTATTTAGCTTCATTTAAAAAGAAAAACCATAAATTCTATTTCAAGCTTTGCCTTCTTTTGAAAAAAAAAGAAAACAGTAAAAAATGAATTATAATTAACTCAAAATGAGAAATCCTATCAAAACCTAGTAAATAATTATATAAGTGTGTGTCTTTAATGATACACAAAAAATTTCCATAAAAGATCATTTCTTTAACAGATTTTTACCCAATCCCAAATTGACCCAATATCAGTTTTCCCCAACTCAATTCATCAAATTTTGTATGAAAAGCCATTTTGTATGGATAACATGTCATCACTCCAGTTTTTGAAGATGTAAAATTATTAATAGAAACATAAATTGAACAATTCCTAATGGAATTGGCAAATTCCCAGCAACAAAACTTTACATATTTGAAGCCCTGGTAGAAAAAAATTGTCAGCTGTGCTTGCACATGAGCTCAGTATAAAAGTGGAAGTATGTTATTTACAGTGATATATAAATAGAGTTGTAAATAATTTGATTGTTCATGTAAAATATCTCTCTTGTTTCTTCAATATCAGGAAGACAATCAAACCTGAAAGTATACAATAACATAAAGGTAAATGGTTATTAATGATCTCAAATTTTTAGGGTCTTAATTAAACATAGCGCAGTTGTTCAACAGAATGTCAACTTAACAATTAGCAAAGCCAAAAGACCACTTTCGAGTTACGTCCTTCACTTCGACAATCATGGGCGCCTTTATGATTTCATTTTCCAGATAGAGTGGACTGCCTGTATCCCTGCACTATTTAAGTTCATCAAGCATCTTCGTGATTGTCATTATGCAGGATAAACTAGAAATAATGGTTGTTCTGTAGGTACTTAATCACAATTCCCTAATGACAGCAGTGCTGATTATCAATTATAAGAATTTAATTTGCCGAATTATTCGTGCAATATAGCATCATATTTTTTCTATCGCTCGCTCAACATGGGAAGGAAGTGACGATGCCCCTCAACGCACGAATGATGTTAACTAAAACCAAAGTTTTTGACGGAAATGAAAAGAACTCGAAAGCAGGGCTTCCAAAATTATTTTTAGCCAGCCGGACATTTTATATATTATCCCGATTTTAATCCCTTAAGACTAAACAAACAAAAGTCAATTATGGTAATCAGTTGCCCAGTTGGCCATCCCAATGATATTGACATTAAAAAAAAAAACGATATTAAACTTTCTTTGATTCAAAATCGAAGTTCTGACGTAAACTGTTAAATTGGCAGTGCATCATTCGTTTTTAAATCTAATATACCCGATGTTATCTTGACAATGGTAAAACATGGACCAGAGATGGATACGTAAATTCCGTGTACGTTTGCAAAGCGTCAATGAGTGGAAGTAGCTCTTTCTACTTTATTTCTTCAAGAAAATATTCGAAATAAACGTGAGATAAAGGTATCAATGACAATTTAAGCATTTTTTGAAGAAATTAGGATGCATAATTAAATTAAACACCTGCGCACACGTGTACTAGTTCTAACAGAGACATGTCTCTAGTTCAAACAACATGGTTATGACGATTTTTCATTTTCACCTTTTTAATTTTTTGATCAAATCATATTTGTAAACGTATTTCTGATAATTTAAATCTTTTTGACTAAATTAATTAGATGCAAACCGCTGAAATGTAAGAAAATAACTTTGAATAGACTGATCAATGTCCGGTTCAAAATAGTTTACCTGTCACCTGAACAGGTAAATTTCAGCTGTTCGACAACTAATTAGCCTTGATTAAAATGAGAAGGTATTAAAGTAGGGGTTGTTTTGATAGTACTTAATGATCATGTTACTTTTATGACCGGAAATGTGTGGCTGTTAAAGGCAAAACATTGGGTCAAAAAGATCGCGAATTATGTTTAAAATGACCGTCTCTTAAAAGCCTTGAAAACTAAAAAGTAGATGACCGTTTCATGCTTTGCCCAGCCAGACTTTTACCGAACATTATACAAATGTCCGGCATATATGACCGTTTTGGAAGCCTTGCTCGAAAGTGGTCTATTTATACACATAATTGATAAATGGAAGGTCATTTATGATTTAGTGACAAATGACATCGTAGAAAGATGTCTGACAGAACATTTCATGACAAGGGGAAATAAAATGTGTGCCTTCATCTAAAGATGCAAATATGGCATGAAAGAAGGTAATACATTGTAGGTAATTTGAAATCTTAGGAAAAAAAAGAATAAAAAAATTTCACAGGATTTTAAGATCTTGAACTACTGTTACCTAAGGTTTGTTTACTGTTAAGGAAAAAGTGCCTTGAGAGTTGAAAAGTCATTGATTTCTGAACATTAACTTAAAACCAATATTTCAAGAATGCACAGGCAACTATGCCTTATTATACTTGTGAAGTGGCATACAAAACTTGAATGTTTGGGAGAGGTGTGGATGTTTTTGAATGGTTAAGAATAAGATAATGAAAAAGCAATAAAATGATTTTGTATTTAAGATATTCATTTACCTTGATCTTTAGTGGCAATGTCTAGGTAACCATCCTAACTGTCGAACACCAAATCCAATGGTACAACCCAACATAGTAAACAAACCAATATAACCAAACTGTCCATACCGTCTGTTCTTTAAATCTGCAGAACAACACATTGATCTTTTAATCAATTTCATCATTTTATATATTAGGTTTTTAAATATCTCTTCAAAATTGAAAGCAATTTTAGTGTAAATAGAAAACAGAAGAAGATAAATGGAGAATGTGTCTATAGGCCACAGATGCCCCCGCTTGTAAATATGCATGAGTCAACTTCCACATACAGATGCAGGATTCACGTAGTTAAGACCATTTTGTGATTATAAGCATTGTGTATCAGTTTCATAACATTTGGTTTTAGGCAAACTAAAGTTAGAAAATGGAAATGACAGATTTATCAATTTTTCCATTTATAAAGGGGCATAACTCAATAACGGTAAAAGTACGCCACATTTTTTCAAACTTGATCTGTGTTTTGTGGTAATAAGCATTGTGTATAAGTTTCATAACATTTGGTTGAGGCAAACTAAAGTTAGAGAACGGAAACCAAATTTGGGGACGTACTGACAAGGGTAACACTTAATGCCCCCTCCGCTACGGCGGGGGCATAAAAATTCGATTTCCCTACAAATCTTTGAGTTCAGATAGGAAGCTTTAGAGAATATAATAAATAATTTAAGGTGACATTCCAGCTATCTATTTTGTAGTCCTTTCTGATAGGATTTCTCCAAACAGATGACTTTATCTGCACAGACATGACAGAGACCAATATTCAAGTCAGCAACATATAATTATATAATTTTTCAAAGAAAAGCATAATCTTAAGAATAGACTTTTGGTTTTTTCGAAATTACCTTACAGAAAAAATAACCAAGCATTCTATTTTCAGGGATAGGATCTATTTAATTTATTTTTTAACAGCTAACATATATTTAATGCTTGTATGTTGTGTGTTTTTCAGTTATTTTTAGTTTATTATATTCTTGTTTACAGGAGTCTGTATTTACATCCTAGTTGATCTGTATAAATCCTAGATTCTAGTTTACACAAATGTATAAACACAATCACAATGACTGTATCAAACTGACCAAATCTAGGTGAATAAATACTGGTCAAAATCACAAACAATTCTACCAAGTTTGGTCTCCTATATATAGATTATGAAGGTTGTGAGTATTGTTCAGATAATCTAAAAATAGAACATACCATCACTATAGTAACCATATGCATAAGCAACTTTTCCTAAAATCCACATCCATCCAGCTGCAGCACAGGTTTTCTGAAAGTATGTTAAAGTAAAGATACAAAATACAAACAGATAGGACATAAACTTTTACATCACCCTACTTCATTTCATACCAAAATTTAAACTAGAGGTTCTAAAGAGCCTTTGTTGCTCACCTGAGTTTATAACCATCTTCAACAATGGCCACTCTCCATCATTATAGACTAGAATATAATTCATGACTAAAATTCTCTATTTTGCTGATCATTTATGTTGTTTAAACTTGCTCTACTAAAGTTTTTGCCAAAAGTATGAAAAAGGGTAAAAAAATCATCATCATTAAAGGGTGACAACTCCTGTGGTGAATGAACTGACAATATACACTAGATATAGGTACCACAAAATGGGCAACCCAAAATGAGGGAAATTTAGACTGCCACTGGAAAAGAGCAGAAAAAATGCAAAAGCTTTAATAGATCAATATCTCTAGTTTAAAACAGTTATAAAATAAAACTCTTAACAGGAACAATGAAAATTTATCATTTGCTGGATATTTCAACATGGTTTATTTCATACACTGAAATTTTCAAATATGAAGTTTTTTAAAATGGCCTATCACAAATGAAATCCTTAGCAGGAGTTCCAGTTTGTATAGTAGTAACCTTGAATTATATTATATCATGTTACATTGTAAGTGCACTTACAGGATATTGTAAACCTCCAGCAAACAACAACATCAGGTATGTAGGATAACCCTCCAATCTGTAATAATAATATTATGTTCATGATCAAGAAATCATCATCAATGAATCTAATTGTAATTTGTTTTTCGGTAATTAGTAATGGCAAATTTTTTGTTGTTGTGATATTATCCTTTTTTACAAGTTTTAACTCTATTGTCAATAAAGCTATCTTTCTATTGCAGAGTTTAGGCATAAAATTATTAATCCACTGCTCCTTAAAGTCCAGCGGTCATTATTACATGCAAATCCGGACAATAACATATTAATATAATAGGATTATAAAACTTGCTTTGTACTAGACAAACATGCTAAGTCTGTTTTTAACTTGCTACATTACAAGGTTATAGACCACAAGGAAAAATATCATCCTCTTAAGACATTTCATTTCCAATTCCTAGTCAACCTGTTCTTACTCTTACTTCTAGATGTCACGTACATGGTGGAGAAGAAGCAAATTATAATTTTAATATTTTAGATAATATTGACCTCACATCTTAAATTAAATCTGCAACCTTCCTGCAACAAGAGACACTCATAGTGTCTATTAAAAATGATTATTAGTTTCAAATACATGTACATATACCTAATAAAGTTTATTCCAAAAGCTGGTGTCATGCACATTGAAATTACATAATTCAAAGTATGTTATATGTCTATCCTATGTAACATGTTTCAATGGACAGGGCATAATAATCTCATAATCAATGGAAATAAGATAAGCCAATGGAAAAACAACTCCCTACAATATATCAATAGAGTTCTGCGACTCTTTTCACAAAAAAATCTTACGATTAATATTGATCGTAAGTTATACTGAAATGTGTATGACTTACGAGTATTTTTACTCTTAAGATTTTTTGTGAAAAGAGCCGCAGGTTCTTCTTAATAACTGACCTAATCACAAATTTAAACATTGTTGATGCTGTAAATAGCACATCTAAGTCTCACCTCTGCTACTCCATTTTGGTAAGAACTAGAGGCTCTTTAGAGCCTGTGTCGCTCACCTTGGTCTATGTGCATATCAAATAAAGGACACTCTCCAACATTGTAGACAAAATACATTAAACAGACCATGACAAAAATCTCTATTTTGTTGATCTTGTATTACTTATCTTTTAGTCTGTTTAGTTTCTCTCTATCTTCTTTAGTTTTTGCTCAAAAAAACAAAAGAGGGTAAAAAAAAAATCCTCATTTAAGGGCAATCACTCCTATGAAGAGTGACAGTCTACTAACTATATCGGCAAAATTGGACTTTTTAAAGGGGCACTAGCTGTCAAATTCATGTTCACCGATTTGACTCAAATTCTCATATTTGATTTATAACAATGTAAAACATTTATCCAAATTATAAAAGGTCTAAAATAAACAATTTACAGGGCATGGGCTCGAGAATATGTAGCTTTGTTTCGTGTGTATTTTAGTCTAGACACCACCTAATTAACTATCAAGTTGACCTCCAAAGACCTCCGATGGTTATATAAGCGATATAAACATAAGTATAGATATAAATAGAGGTGAACTCGTGCAATTAGATTTTTCTAGGTCTGTTTAATTTCATATTATAGATTAATAATGCCCCCTCCGCTACGGCGGGGGCATAAAAATATATGTTAATCATCGTTTTTACCTGTATAAGAATGATGTTTTGTGGATCGAATCAGTCAATCAAATGATTTACCTTTGTTTCACTTTCAATGTTGTCATTCTTTTCCTTTAAATAACTTTAAATGAGAATTATTTTTTCACTATTTCACTTTCATTAATGATTGAACAAAAAAAATCATATTTTGATTTTTCATATATCTCCTAGCTAGTGCGCCTTTAATAGATCTTGCCTTGCTGATCATTTTTATGCTTTATAGTTTTTATTTATCTTTTATAATTAAAATCATATAAGGCATAAAGGAAAATAAATGAGGAATGTGTCCATGGGACACAGATGATGCCCCCGCTTGCATATAATGTTATAAAGGATCATAACTCAAGAACTGTAAAAGTGATGCTACCCAAATTTGTACTTGATCCGAGTTTTGTGGTAATTAGCATTGTGTATACGTTTCATAACATTGAGTTGAGGCAAACTTAAGTTAGAGAACCGAAACAAAAAATCCAGCAATTTTTCCATTTGTAAAGGGGCATAACTTTAGAACAATAACAGTGACCCCACCAAAGTTCAAACTTGGTCTGTGTTTTAAGGTAATAAGCATTGTGTTTAAGTTTCATAACATTTGGTTGAGGCAAACTAAAGTTAGAGAACCGAAACAAAAAATTTAGCATTTTTTCCATTTGTAAAGGGGCATAACTCTAGAACGACAAAAGTGACCCCACCAAAATTCAAACTTGGTCTGTGTTTTAAGGTAATAAGCATTGTGTATAAGTTTCATAACATTTGGTTGAGGCAAACTTAAGTTGGAGAACAGAAACAATAAAATGCTTCGCTGGGGCGCAGCTTGATACGACCGCAGAGGTCGAACCCTGAACAGTTGGGGCAAGTATGGACACAACATTCAAGCTTGATACAGCTCTGAATTTGGATTGTTATTAAATATTTGACACAGCATAGGTTTCTGACACAGGAAGAATGTGGTCTAAGAATTTGAATTTTTTTTAATTTACCTATTATGGTCCAATGTCCAAAATCAAAATACATGGTTAGATTCAGCATATCAAAGAACCCCATATATTCAATTTTTGTTAAAATCAAACAAAGTTTAATTTTGGACCCCAACTTGGACAAACTTGAAAACTGGGCCCATAATCAAAAATCTAAACACATGTTTAGATTCAGCATATCAAAGAACCCCAAGAATTCAATTTTTGCTAAAATCAAACTAAGTTTAATTTTGGACCCTTTGGACCTTAATGTAGACCAATTTAAAAAACGGGACTTAAAATTAAAAATCTAAATACACGGTTAGATTTGGAATATCAAAGAACCCCAATAATTCAATTTTTGATGAAATCAAACAAAGTTTAATTTTGGACCCTTTTGACCTCAATATGAACCAATTTGATAGCGGGGCACACAAATAAAAAATCTAAATTCATGGTTAGATTCAGCATATCAAAGAACCCCATATATTCAATTTTTGTTGAAATCAAACAAAGTTTAATTTTGGACCCCAACTTGGACCAACTTGAAAACTGGGCCCATAATCAAAAATCTAAACACATGTTTAGATTCAGCATATCAAAGAACCCCAAGAATTCAATTTTTGCTAAAATCAAACTAAGTTTAATTTTGGACCCTTTGGACCTTAATGTAGACCAATTTAAAAAACAGGACTTAAAATTAAAAATCTAAATACATGGTTAGATTTGGAATATCAAAGAACCCCAATAATTCAATTTTTGATGAAATCAAACAAAGTTTAATTTTGGACCCTTTTGACCTCAATATGAACCAATTTGAAAGCGGGGCCTACAAATAAAAAATCTAAATACATGGTTAGATTCAGCATATCAATGAACCTCATATATTCAATTTTTGTTGAAATCAAACAAAGTTTAATTTTGGACCCCAATTTGGACCAACTTGAAAACTGGGCCCATAATCAAAAATCTAAATACATGTTTAGATTCAGCATATCAAAGAACCCCATATATTCAATTTTTGTTGAAATCAAACAAAGTTTAAATACTGGACCCTATCTTGGACCAACTTGAAAACTGGGCCCATAATCAAAAATCTAAACACATGTTTAGATTCAGCATATCAAAGAACCCCAAGAATTCAATTTTTGTTAAAATCAAACTAAGTTTAATTTTGGACCCTTTGGACCTTAATGTAGACCAATTTAAAAAACGGGACCCAAATTAAAAATCTAAAAACACGGTTAGATTTGACAAATCAAAGAACCCCAATAATTCAATTTTTGATGAAATCAAACAAAGTTTAATTTTGGACCCTTTTGACCTCAATATGAACCAATTTGATAGCGGGGCCCACAAATAAAAAATCTAAATTCATGGTTAGATTCAGCATATCAAAGAACCCCATATATTCAATTTTTGTTGAAATCAAACAAAGTTTAATTTTGGACCCCAACTTGGACCAACTTGAAAACTGGGCCCATAATCAAAAATCTAAACACATGTTTAGATTCAGCATATCAAAGAACCCCAAGAATTCAATTTTTGTTAAAATCAAACTAAGTTTAATTTTGGACCCTTTGGACCTCAATGAAGACCAATTTAAAAAAAGGGACCCAAATTAAAAATCTAAAAACACCGTTAGATTTGGCATATCAAAGAACCCCAATAATTCAATTTCTGATGAAATCAAACAAAGTTTAATTTTGGACCCTTTTGACCTCAATATGAACCAATTTGAAAGCGGGGCCTACAAATAAAAAATCTAAATACATGGTTAGATTCAGCATATCAATGAACCTCATATATTCAATTTTTGTTGAAATCAAACAAAGTTTAATTTTGGACCCCAATTTGGACCAACTTGAAAACTGGGCCCATAATCAAAAATCTAAATACATGTTTAGATTCAGCATATCAAAGAACCCCATATATTCAATTTTTGTTGAAATCAAACAAAGTTTAAATACTGGACCCTATCTTGGACCAACTTGAAAACTGGGCCCATAATCAAAAATCTAAACACATGTTTAGATTCAGCATATCAAAGAACCCCAAGAATTCAATTTTTGTTAAAATCAAACTAAGTTTAATTTTGGACCCTTTGGACCTTAATGTAGACCAATTTAAAAAACAGGACCCAAAATTAAAAATCTAAATACACGGTTAGATTTGGAATATCAAAGAACCCCAATAATTCAATTTTAGATGAAATCAATAAAGTTTAATTTTGGACCCTTTTGACCTCAATATGAACCAATTTGATAACGGGGTCCACAAATAAAAAATCTAAATACATGGTTAGATTCAGCATATCAAAGAACCCCATGTATTCAATTTTTGTTGAAATCAAACAAAGTTTAATTTTGGACCCCAATTTGGACCAACTTGAAAACTGGGCCAAAAATCAAAAATCTAAATACATGTTTAGATTCAGCATATCAAAGAACCTCATATATTCAATTTTTGCTAAAATCAAACAAAGTTTAATTTTGGACCCCAACTTGGACCTTCATATGGATTTTTTTGTAAAAAAAAAAGATGCAACATTTGCAGATATTTTTACTGGTCTTCCTTTATAAATATGCATTTCTTTACACATAATTTAAAAGCAGTGTAAGGGAAGTAACCAAAACGTTGTATTTGGATTACCTCCCTTACACTGTTTTAAATTATCTTAATTGTTCATTAACCATTACTTTATACATAATTTAAAAGCAGTGTAAGGGAGATAATTTCAATGATGTATTTGATTTATCTCCCTTACACTGCTTTAAATTATGTTTTGTACTAAAGTATTTGTCCATTAACCAGGACAACCTTGTTTTTCCCCCTTTTTTGCCCCTAATTCCTAAACGGTTTGAGCCATAACCCCCCAAAGCAAATCCTAACCATCCCTTTGTGGTATGGAAACTTGTAGTATAATTTCAGAGAGATCCATACACCGTTCCACAGTTATTGTCTGGAAACTAGAAAATGCTTATTTTTGGCCCCTTTTTGGCCCCTAAATCCTTAACTGTTGGAACCATAACCCCCAAAATCAATCCCAACCTTCCTTTTCTGGTATTTAACCTTAAGGTAAAATTTCAAAGAGATCCATTCACTTAAACTAAAGTTAGAGTGCGAAAACCAATGTGTCTTCGGACGATGACGACGCCAATGTCATACCAATATACGATCGCAAAAATAAAAACTGCAAAATTTATTTAAAATTACCAATTCTAGGCCCGGGGCAGCAACCAAACAACGGGTTGTCTGATTCATCTGAAAATTTCAGGGCAGATAGATCTTGACCTAATGAACAATTCAACCCCACGTCAGATTTACTCTAAATGATTTGATTTCAAAGATATAAGCTAAAATCTGCATTTAACCCCTATGTTCTATTTTTAGCCATGGCGGACATCTTGTTTGGCGTGCTGGGTCATCAGACACATTTTTTAAACTAAATACCCAAATGATGATTGTAGCCAAGTTTGGTTAAATTTGGTCAAGTTGTTTCAGAGGAGAAGATTTTCGTAAAAGTTAATGGACGACGGACGCCAAGTGATGAGAGAAGCTCACTTGGCCCATTGGGCCAGGTGAGTTAAAAAAAAAATTACTGTATTGTATATACTTACGTATTTTGATGGACTCTCTGGACACAGTTAAATTTTTCATTGTCTGCAGAATACAAGGTTGGGTACTGAAATAAGAAATAATATTCTTAAAGATTTACAATCTTTCATTTTTATAACTGCATAAGCTGTGGAAAAAATTTTTACCTAAAAGATTTTTATAGTTTATAGTATTAAAATTGGATCAAATTTAATACTAATTATTTCTGCAATGCTTCTTTAACCAAATCTATAATTTTTTAAAATTAAGACATCCAATAACACTGCCACTGGAACAATATACATGTAAGTGAAAATCCTCAATTTTGTATGAAGTTTAAAAATAAATCACCAAAGTATACTATGTGCAGACATGTGAAAAAACGCTCTGTACGTGCCTGTCCCAAGTCAGGAGCCTATAATTCAGTGGTTTTTGTGTGACTGTATATCATATGAATTGTTTTACATTTGTCATTTTGGGCCTTTTATAGGTGTCTATGCTGTCAGGGTTTTACTCATTTCTGAAGGCTATATGATGACCTATAGTTGTTAATTTCTGTGTCATTTGGTCTCTTGTCATGCTCGTGGACAGTTGTCTCATTTGGAATCATGCCACATTTTCTTATTTTTATAATTATTTGTTTAGATGAATTGCCCATAAACCTTGCAAAAGAAAACCGACCCATAATTCTCAATTCTGTTAACCCCATCTAGACCCTCATATATGCATCCGTAAAAATTGGATGATGTTAAATGCTAACAATCACAATACTAATAACTTCTAAGTAAGACTCTTTAATACTGTGATTAATTTATTTTTGTTGGTACAAGTTTTCCTAGTTAAGGGGAAAATTGTATTTTCATGGACTTTTGATATCATCGTTTTGCCAAAGTACAAGTATATAGAAAATTAGTACTTTAATGAATGTTTAAATTTGTGGATCACCTGTTTCAATGAAATCCATGATATTGGATAAAGCCTTTTTAAACACTATCTTCTTCATCAACTATTTAACTTTTTTTGTTTATATGTACTAGCAATTTTAGACTATGACAATAACATGAATAAGATTAGCATTCAGTGAAAACCCATGTGACATCATGGTCATCAAGTTTAACATCTGATAAGCATGAAATGAGGGACTTTTGTAGAAGCTCTCCCCATCATTTCTATAAAGTTTGAACCGATTTGGCTTTTCAGAGGAGAATTCTTTAAACTGACCAAAAACAATTGATACACTCACTGGGATATAGCTTGCCCCTATCATTCATCTAGTCTGGAAAAAAAATCCTTGTATTTTACAGAAGAAGAACACAAATAAAATTGAAAAACATATTGCAAAGGATCTATCATACTTCATTCCTGCAAAAGCTGGTTTTCAATATAATTTTTGCATTCCACAGGCAACTGAAGAAAAAAACCAATTAGCACTGGTTTTCAATATAATTCTAAATTTTTAGGTTGTAAACTTTTGACCTAGATTTCATCATATATTGGGAATATTGGCATAAAATAGCTTTCAATGTCAATTCCCTATATCATTTACATTTTCAAGGGTTTAACTGAAATAAATAAACTGCTTTGCCGAGCGCAGCTGGATACGACCGCAGAGGTCCAACCCTGAACAGTTGGGGCAAAAATGGACACAATATTCAAGCTTCATACAGGTCTGAATTTGGATTGTAATTAAATATTTGACATATTATAGGTTTCTGACACAAAATAAATGTAGTCAAAGAACTTGAAATTGGTTGTACGATTTAAATTTATATTCAATTGATGATTTCTTGCTGTTGTGCAATACACTGTGCTGTTGCCCAATACTTAGTAAATCTGTTTTCAGACTATAAACAAAGAATAAGCAAAATAAATTGTGACCCCCCCCCCCCCCTCCAAAAAAAATAATATTTGAAGAGAATTTTCTTTTGAGGAAAAAAAATTGCCCCCCCACCCCCCCTTCCAAAAAAATTAATTTTGAAGAAATTTTCTTTTTGTAAAATGTGGTACAAATTAAGAGACACCCATACACTTAAACACAAGTTATTGTCTGAAAACTAGAAAAATGTTTGTTTTAGACCCTTTTTGGCCCCTAATTCCTGAACGGTTTGGGCAATTACCCCCAAAATAAATCTCAACCTTCTACTTGTTGTATTGAACCTTGTGGTACAATTTCAGAGCAATCAAAATACTTATTCACAAGTAATTATCCTGAAACTAGAAAAATGCTTGTTTTGGCCCCTAATTCCTAAACGGTTGGGACCATCACCTCCAAAAACAATCCCTACCTTCCTTTTGTGGTATTGGACCTTTTGGTTAAATTTCATAGAAATCCATACACTTAAACTAAAGTTATTGTCCGGAAACCAAATGTCTTCGGATGATGCTGACCACGTGATACCAATATACGACCGCAAAAAGTATAAAAATAAATGGGGAATGTGTCCATGGGACACAGATGATGCCCCCGCTAGCATATAACGCTATAAAGGGACATAAATCAAGAACTGTAAAAGTGACGCTACCCAAATTTGTACTTGATCTGATTTTTGTGGTAATAAGCATTGTGTATACGTTTCATAACATTTAGTTGAGGCAAACTAAAGTTAGAGAACAGAAACGAAAAATTCAGCAATTTTTCCATTTGTAAAGGGGCATAACCCTAGAACGGTAAAAATGACACCACCAAAATTCAAACCTGATTGGTGTTTTGTGGTAATAAGCATTGTGTATAAGTTTCATAACATTTGGTTGAGGCAAACTAAAGTTAGAGAACGGAAACCAAAAATCCCAGCAATTTTTCAATTTGTAAAGGGCCATAACTCTAGAACCATAAAAGTGACGCCACCAAAATTCAAACTTGATCTGTGTTTTGTGGTAATAAGCATTGTGTAAAAGTTTCATAAGATTTGGTTAAGACAAACTAAAGTTAGAGAACGGAAACCAAAAATCCCAGCAATTTTTCAATTTGTAAAGGAGCATTACTCTAGAATGGTAAAAGTGATGCCACCAAAATTCAAACTTGACCTGTGTTTTGTGGTAATAAGCATTGTGTATAAGTTTCATAACATTTGGTTGAGGCAAACTAAAGTTAGAGAACGGAAACCAATTTTGGGAAGTATGGACATACGTCATGTACGTCCAGATGTACAGACGGACAAGGGTAAAACTTATTGCCCCCTTCGCTACCACAGGGGCATAAAAATCCTCATCTTCAAATTTGTTTGAGATACTGTTGATGTATTTAAATCGTTGGTATCAAATTCATTTAAAATCAATCAGGACCATAATCTATGTAAGTGTACTTACAATAAAGGAAAAAAAGACGCACATAATCATTTTAATTACCCTGCACTGCTTTGTGGCAGGGGACAGAAAGAGTTGGTCTGGAAAGATATTCTAAACAAGCATTCTGAGAGTATTGCATGGCAATACATAGTCCCCTACCGGTTAAAAATTAATTGTACTGGAACAAAATGCTAACTTGATCTATAACTGGTCATGGTGTAAACTATACAACAAATATCAAGTCAATATCTTCAAGCATGACAAAAAAAAGTGCGGAAAACTGATAATTTAAGTGAATTTTCTAAGTCCAAAGACTATAACTCTGCAAAAAATCATAAAACAGAAATGAAATTCAAACTTGGTCTGTAACTTGTCATGATAAAACAATGTACCAATTATTAAATCAATATCTTCAAGAATGACAAAAAAAGTGCGGAAAACTGAATATTTGAGGGAATTTTTTAAGTCCAAGGACTATAACTCTGCACAAAATTATCAGACCGGAACAAAATTCGAACTTGATCTGTAACTTGTTATGATAAAACAATATACCAAATATCAAATAAATATCTTCAAGCATGAAGAAAAAAAGTGAAAAACTGATTTGCCGTACTGACAGAAGGACAGACAGACGGACGGAGTGCAAACCTAAAGTCCCCTTCGACTTCGTCGGTAGGGGACTAATAAACCAATTGGAATCAAGATGTGGCTTATAAATGTGCCTTTAGTTACAATGTTTTCATTTGATAAAAATAAAATCTGGACTTATTATACAGAACCTTATGTTACAGACAAATGTGGCTTAGTCTGGCTTACAAGTTGAAGAGAAAAAGATCAAAATCTGTAAAAATAATAGAATATACATGAAGATGCAAAAAAAATGACAAGGGACACACAGGTCAGGAACAAACAGTAAATAATTACAATAAAACAAAATATTTTAGTAAAGATGAAGTTTCAACCATTTTCTGCGATAAATTGATTCATAAATCTATTTGACTTTCATATTTCAAAGATCCATACTTCTACTTTGTACTTCTTTCTGGCAGCTACAACTTTGTAGGTCATCCAATAAATAAGAAAGGTACTTCCAACTCCTGTCAAAACTACATAGCCATACTCTTGTGGAATCTTTGATACGACTGTCATTCTCCTGAAAATGATAAATATAAATTCATACAATATATATATATGAAAAGTGTCATACCCAAATTTTATATTTCTTCCTTGCCACAATAACTTTGTAGGTCATCCACTGTAACATAAATGTACTAGCAACACCTGTCAGGACTACATATCCATATTCTTTTGGAAGCTTTGAAACAACTGTCATGATTCTGTAAGAAAAATCAAATCATATTTCAGACCACTTCTACACAACTCGTTGCCTGAAACAAGGAAAATGAGAGTTGATTGTGTTTACAGATACATGCATTAGTCTGAGCTCAGAAATGTCAGTCATGAATTTGTCTAATTCTGCTTTTCACTCAAGAGGTCTAAAATTGAACATGCATGTTTCATGGATTGTCTCCCTTTATCTTAAAACAAAATATGACTTCTACAAGTCAATTAAGTAATACTAAGCAAAATATGCTTGACTTCATTAAAAATGTTGCAAATAGTGACTTCTTTTAGCATGTTTAGTTGATAAGTTACCAAACTAAAAGACCTATGTATGAATGAGAGTCTAATTATAAAACAAGAGTACACATATTGGAATGTCTAGTCTGCTTTACTGATCATGACTGAAATCATGTTGATAGTCTTTTTTTTTTCTTTTCAGTTTTTTAATAATTGATTGAACTGTTTTGAAAGTTTATAATTGAGGAAAAATATGACATTTTTGTTGCTTATGACATGTATAAAGGAAAACAAAATCAAAGAATGACAAGCAACATATACATATATATAAAAAAACCAAAACATCTCTCATTTATTTAAAAAGGAGAGCTTTGAAAATAATGATACATACAAGTTACGTTGTGTAAACCACATAATAGGCACATTTTGTAATAAAAAAGTTGTGATGGTGTGACTGCCTTTTTGGGAAACATCTAGACAAAAAGTGTGATATTTGATAATGAATGAGCTTCTTTTAACCGACATTAGTCCTGAAATTGCATTGATTTTTTTATTTCTCCGGCATTTACCAAAAGGTTGTTGTTTATGTAACAGTTATTTTTTTACAACCTACACATGTACCGGTACATGTATCCTTATATTCCCCATCTGTATCTGTCTGTATCTCTACACAACGCAGGAACCCTTGGCGTTTTCTTCAAACTGGAAGGAAGGCAGTGGGACTTAGTACAACTGTTGGAGGGCATCTCTAATGGTCAGGCCAATATTAAAAATATGTTTGTTTGCCCATCTCTGACCCATCATTTTAAATGTGGTTAGTAGTAGGCAAATTATTTTATTTTATTATCATAAAAAGTAGTTTGTAAAAATTTTGTCAAGATGGAAGATACTGTTGACAGTTTATATGCAAGTCATTTTTAGCTGGTACATTGTGTGTAAAAATTTTGTCAAGATGGTGATACTGTTGACAGTTTATATGCAAGTCATTTTTAGCTGGTACATTGTAATGTATATCAAAAAAGAGTGGAATTTGATTTACCTGACAAATTTCAGATTTTTTCCCTCAAAATCACACATTTTTAATAAGTGCTTTCCTAGAAAAAAAAATTCTTAGGGGTTGAGAACGCCAGATAACACAAGGTGTACAACCAAGTAAATGAAAAGAAAGAAAAATCCATTGCAAAAAAAGCATCAATTCTGTGTACACTGATGATTGCATTCAAATGAGGAACAGTATAAATCTTCTAAGTCATGTTAATAGAACAGCCAGGAGTTTTTTGTCTATCAGTCAAAAACTGCTTCGCTGAGTGCAGCTGGATACGCCCGCAGAGGTCCAACCCTGAACAGTTGGGGAAAAAATGGACACAATATTCAAGCTTGATACAGGTCTCAATTTGGATTGTAATTAAATACTTGACATATTATAGGTTTCTGAATAAATGTAGTCAAAGAACTTGAAATTGGTTATATGAATTGAATTTATATTCAATTAAAGATGTCTTCTTGTTGTGCAATACACTGTGATGTTGCTCAATACTTAGTAAATCTGTTGTCAGTCAGGGGACTTACTTAAATGAATGATTTTCTAAATCACTGATTCAAGTAACATAATGTCCATAAAGGTTGGAAGTAAGAGCTGTCTTTCTTTAATAATCACCTATTTAAGTAGTACAAATTAATCACTAGACTAAGTGATTTAATTTTATTGTAGCTTTAAATATAGAATACTAATGATCCAGGGACTAATCATGTTGCTAAAATTATCAGAACCAACATCTTTGTTGATAGGATGACCGGGGAAGGTCAGGTGATGACCTTGTACTAAATCTAGGATAATGACATAAAAATCACTTGTTTAAGTATCATACCTCAATTTCCTTCCAAAAAATCACTTTTTTAAGTATCATTATTTTAATAATCCCCACTAATTTCAACACCCCCGAACAGTGAAATTTTGATTGCGAACAGTAGAATTTTATTACATAATCTTTAAGATGAAACCTTGAATTTTACAGGAAAAATACTCCCACTGCTGGGAAAAATCTGTTAAGAAAGTATCAGTTCATTATGTAAAGCCATTTTTATAGCGTTTTTTCAACTAAAATAGAATTTGCAGCTAAATGATTGCATCAAAGGCATAAACTTTGCTGCTTAAAAGAAGCAAAAAGTTCGTTTTTTTAAATTTTACTAATGAAAAGATATTATCTAAACCTATGTGTTTAAAATTTTGGTAAAACTATAAAATCACAATTTGTGACAAAACTTCTAATTTGCTACTTAAATAAGTGATTTAAAAATCACTTATTTCAATAAGTCCCCTGACTGGTTGTCAGACTATAAACAAATAAAGTTCAATTACTTCTCAATGTTATATCAGAAATTTATAAAAAATTAAAGGGAGGTTATCTTAATAGATATAAATCAGTCATCAAAGTTTAATGAAAACTGCTCTAAGCACTTTAAGGATATTGTCCAAAAACTTCAAAAATCACCCCTTTTTTTATGAATAAAATCTTATAACTCCGAAACGTAAAATCTAAAATTCATAAAAATCAAAAGGGAGCTTACAACAATAGATATAAACAATTTATCAAAGTTTCATGAAAGCATTTTTGAGTTCTTGTCCGAAAACTGGAAAATCCCCTTTTTGTAATGAATAAATCCCCATAAATCGTAAACTTATAGTCTAAAATTTATAAAAATCATAAGGGAGCTCATGTCGATAGAAATAATCAATTCACCAAAGTTTCTTGCAAATTGGTGAAATTGTTTTGAGTTATTGTCCGAAAACTGAAAAATCCCCCCTTTTTTAAGGAATAAAACCCCAAAACTTGGAAACGGTAAATCCAAAATTTATAAAAAACCAAAGGGAGCTCACATCAATAGATATTAACAATTCACCAAAGTTTCATGCATAATGGTTTAAGTGTTTTTGAGTTAATGTCCGAAAACTGGAAAATCCCCCTTTTTTAATTGAAAAAAACCCCAATACTAGGAAACTGAAAATCTAAAATTTATAAAAAATGAAAGGGAGCTCAGGTCAATAGATATACACATTTCACTAAAGTTTCATGCAAATTGGTAAAAGTGTTTTTGAGTTATTGTCCGACATGTTGACGACAGACGGACGGACGGACAACGGTATACCATAATACGTCCCGTAAACGGGCATATAAAAAAAATTATATTTACATTATATTATGGTACATTTTTTTTTTGTAATTGTCAAATTGATACATGTAGGTAGTAGTTTGGAGTTGAATGGAACTAGTGTTACCGTTATTATGACATATAAAAATCATTTATGAAACTTTATATCAGTATGCATCTCGTAAAAGCAGACATACTGAGCCAAAGCAGACTGCCAAAATCCTTTTTTAATGTAATACAAGTAGGTAAATTTCAAGACAGTCTGTTAAAAGCAGACTTTCTAAATCCTATGAACTGGTTAGTTATTCCCTTCATTCAGGTTATCATCCTTTAGATATATTTCCAAAGTAATGTATTATTTTCAGGTCAATCAAATACATCACGGGTAGTAACCTCGTCATACCGAGAACCGTTTAGTACAGTGATTTTGTCATAGTTTGGTTAAGATGAACATGGTTGTGTTAAGTTACTTCCGCGAACGATTGCCTCAGTTCTATTCAAACGAGCAAATAAAAAGCAAATAAGATGTTTTAATTTGCATTGTTAGTCAAACGATCTACATTGGAATTGTTGTTTTCAAGAAACTAACGCAGAATAAGCAAACTATCGAAATTGCTATGGTTTGGTTAAGTTATGACATGGTTCGGTTAAGTGTCTAGAAATTCGTCATGGTTTTGATCAAGTTTGTCATGGTTTAGATCAAAATTAATATGTATGTGTTTCAGCTCAATATTAATAGTTTGTTTAAAAAAGCTTGTAATTAAACGAAGTTACACAATTTACCAACTGACTAAGAAGAAAAAAAGCATTTAAAACCAAAATTAGATGCTGTAATTGGCAAAGCGTACATTTAACAATTTAACTGTTTGTGACTTGTCTTTGTATGCAAATCGTACTACTACGAGTGTCTCGTAAAAGAATTAAGAATATATGAGCACTCATGTAATCCCACATACAAAAACCTCATTTGACAAGGATGAGATTTTGGTGATTCACAAGTTGTTAATAGCTTCAATGAACCTTACTTTGAGCAGCAAATCGGAGGACTTACCTAGTTTGTATTGGATACCAAAGCTTCACAAAATTCCGTACAAACAGCCGTACATTGCCAGCTCATCTGCATGTTCGACGAAAGAATTGTCCATTAGATTGACAAAAATTCTTTCCGCAATAAAAAAGGGTTTTCAGAAATACCGTGAAACTGTTTACTCGCGTAGTGGTATTAACCATATATGGATTTTAAAAAAAGCTCTTAAAGAACTTCTGAATAAATGTAAATCTCAATATTTCTCTGAAGTTAGTTCTATCAAAACGTTTAATTTTTCAATCCTGTGTACCACTATTCCCTATGTGTAATTGAAAAATCGTCTAAAAGAAATAATTTAAATCTACAATGCTTTTCAACATAAAAAGTGTAGCGCACGCTATACATTTATTACTTTTGGATACCATACGGCATATTTTGTTAATAGTGAACAAAAAAATAAAACATGCTACATAGAGGAACAAGTGACCAGTATGCTGGAGTTTCTTATTGACAAAATATTTGTTGAATTTGGAGGTAGACTTTTTCACCAAATTGTAGGTATTTCTATGGGAGCGAACTGTGCGGTAGCGACCTCTTCTTATCTTCATATAAGTCGGAGTTCCTTCAGACATTTGTAAAAAACAAGAAGATCAAAGAAGCCAGATCATTTAATTTCACATTCATATATATTGTTCTTTTAATTAACAATCCAGACTTTTCTGATTGAATTCCATTAATATATCCCCAAGAACTAGAAATTAAAGGAACAGCAGACACGGCTTCCTCTGTCTCATTTTTAGACTTATACCTCGAATTTGACATGAGCGGTCATCTTAGTACCAGAATCTAAGACAAACGAGACGATTTTAATTTTAAAATTATCAGTTTCTCCAACCTTAGTAGCAATATACCAACTTCTCCTGCATATGGGATATACATTTCCCAACTCATTCGATATTCAAGAGCTTGCAGATGCTACTCAGACTTTGTAAACTGTCACCAGTGTCTGAGCAGAAAGTTGATGAACCGGTGGTATGTCAAAGAACGTCTCGTCCTTTTTCCAAAAAAGTTCATCGGAAGACCTTGTGGGTAAATATTCCTTTTCAACTTCACAAATAATAAACAATGGTCGTTAAGTAAACATTCTAAGTACTGACATTGTTTGTCACCTTGATGACGTGTTATGGTACTCTTTTATTTGTCTTTGTAAATTATTACTTTAACTGTTTAGTCTATTTTTGGCCCAATCCATTTGACGTGGCTCGGTACTTATACATCCCGTCATTGTGTTATTGTGCTATGGTGAATTTTTGTACTCTTGTCTTTCGTTTTTGCTTATGTGCTTTGTCTATATGCCCTTTTGTTTTTCTTTGTTGAAATATTTGTTTTGTTTTTATAGTGACTAAGATTATAACACAATGTTGCCTGCTGTACCCTTATTTTTTTACATTTTTACCTATTATGTCTGTTTGTTTTGTACACACATCGTCGTCAATATAATGGAATTTTATGCGACTGTCATACATGTGAGAGGTTAGGCTGGCTATAAAACCAGGTTTAATCCACCATTTTCTACAGAAAAAAATGTATGTACCAAGTCAGGAATATGACAGTTGTTATCCATTCGTTTGATGTGTTTCAGTTTTTGGTTTCGCCATTTGATTAGGGACTTTCCGTTTAGAATTTTCCTCGAAGTCCCGTATTTTTGTTATTTTGCTTTTATAATTTAAAAAGTCACTGCTCTTTTAAACTAACTTTTGAGATAATAATTACAAAAACAGAAAGCGGTGCTTCTGTTTGACATAGATTATTTTCTCCGTATGTCCATGATTGACTCTGTCGATGATATCGTGAGCGGCATCACTTGTAAAATTTGTAAAAACTATTACTAAAATTAAAATAAAAAAAAAAATACACACAAGTTCAGAATTTAAATATATGAAAAATCACAATTCCGAATTAGAATGAAGCCGATTTAATGTCCACTTTTATCAATTATTATAACGAACGAATAATAAACAGCAGCGCCATGAGCGCATGATCCGCCCGTCGTCTTGTGTGTGAATTTTTATGCAATAATCATAAACAGTTTCTGACATACGGCGCGACATGCGAAACCCCCCCCTTTTTTTTTTACAAAAAACTCAACATCTCTAAAATAAAATTTTGAGTCAAAACCAAAAAGTATACAGATCTTTAGATTAATATAACTAAGAAGTGTGTAAAATTTTAAGCAATAATCATAAATCGTTTTTGAGATACGGCGCGACATGTGAAAAACCCCTCCCCCTTTTTTTTTTTACAAAAATTGAAAATACTCAATAACTCAAAAATAAAATTTTGAATCATCACCAAAAAGTATACAGATCTTAAGATTAATATAACTAGAAAGTGTGTAAAGTTTTAAGCAATAATCATAAATTGTTTTTGAGATACGGCGCGACATGTGAAAAAAACACACACCTGTTTTAGTTACTAAGTCCCGTAACTCAAAAAGTTTTAATCTTATTTTCACCAAAAAGTATACAGATCGTTTGACCATCATCAGAAACAACTATGTTAAGTTTCATGAAATTTGGAAAAGTCGTTTTCAAGTAACAGTGCGACATGTTTACGCCGGACAGACAGACGGACAGACGACATTTGTATACCATAATACGTCGCGTCAAAATTTTGACGGGCGTATAAAAATGATTATGTTTTTGTAATATTGAATAATACATTGGTTTTCTCATTTAAATTTTTTTTACATATAATTTTGTCGGAGCCTTTTTTAGCTTGCTAAAAGGTATGGATTTTGTTGATTGTTGAAGGCCGTACGACATATAGTTGCTTACATCTACGTCATTTTGGTCTCGGGTGGATAGCTATCTCATTGGCAATCAGACCGCATGCAATTAATATATATAATACTACATTGAATGTGCGTATATATGTCCTTTTGTATTCCAAATAAAACGATTTAAAAAAGAGTATTTCAATATATATAATGTCTGTTTATTTTGATCGTTACTCTTCCTTCATTCACGAATAGAATCACATAATTGAACCATGTTCAACATGAAATAAACCATGACACGAATGAACCAAACCATGACACCGAATATTCTGTAATCTTAAATTGTGTGCACTAGGGGCTGTTTTTCGGGAAAATAGACGGCAGTTTTATATCATAACAAAATATGTGATGTAGCAGACAGTAAGCAAACCACTTTTCTTTATGCATTAGAAACGAATCACAACTTTTAAATTTTGATATACGCAAGCATTACTCTGTGTCAAATTAATAACTATATGATATAAATTTTGATGTACTAACATATTAGTTATAAACAAAGATACTTAGCAGCTTGAATTCGTTGTCATTTGTTCCTTTAACAAACTATTCGAATGTTTATATTTTGACACTGTTTGTCATCAAAAACACTCAACACAACCATGTTCATCTTAACCAAACTATGACAAAATCACTGTACTAAACGCTTTTCGATATGACGAGGTTACTACCCGTGTACATGAAGAAAAAGAACCCAAAGAAAGGATAATTTTCAAGATTAAAGTTAATTTTGATAAGCTTCTATTTTCAGGAATACAGAACTTCATAAATGCATTGCTTTGTTTTATATAATAAATTTTAAAAATCATTTCAATTTTGTACAACAATGCGGCATAAAATCAAGACTACGGGGCCATCAACTTAGGTGGGACAATAACTACTTAACTAAAGGCAAACTATAATTAATTTACCTAATCAATTCAGACAAAATCTTCAAAATATCTGATACACAATCATAAAAGTCATCATGGTCATAACATCTGCTTATACATGTTATATGACAACAATATTATTGTACATGAAAATTGACATCACTGGTCAGCGATTAGGTAAGACAATTGTTTCTTACTACAATCTAACAGCAAATATTTGGTTTTCAAAAGCAATGCTTTCAAGAGACTATCTAACCATAGGCACACAGTGATCAATATCAAGATTAATCTTTAAAAATATTCAATGTTGAACATCACTAATTTTTCAACATGACCCTCAGACTTTAAAAAAAACAATCATAAAAACATCATGTTGGACAGCTGTTTGAGTTGTGTTTCAGACACAAGAATATATTTTTACCCAAATTTTTCACAAATCATATTTTCATTTGTACAGACATGAGAATTATAAGAAACTATATTTAAGTGTGTATATATTTTGTAGATTTAGCTACTTCTTGTTTTGGAGGGTGCCTTAGGAAAGACTTGGAACAATCATGACAAAATTATAGTTCCAATCTTTCCAAAAAACAATGATTGAGCGCACAGTGTCGAGCTTCAAAACGGCTCTCATGCACCGTCAACAAATCGACGACGTTGTCTCCACCGTTGTTTAAAAGTCAGTATTTGGTATAGAAAACGTATTTATACAGAGACAGATTGCGTTTTGTTTTCGTTTCTCATAATTTTTTGCACAACCCGTAAAATTATTCGACATGTTTGTAACATTTGAATTTTCTTTACCGAAAATGACACTCATAAACAACTGGCAGAATTTAACCCTGCTATGTTAAATTGTTTAAAGGATTAAGCTTATACTTACAAACCCTTTTGCTTCTCCTAGAAGCGTGATGATTTATGGCTGTTCAAAGTCGAAGGTGACCACTGTGTCCTATCCTGGTAACTTGCAAAAATCGAGCAAAGAACCAAAAGGTGTAAAATTTGGTAAACCAGTTGAATAAATAATATATTAACCAAATAACGAATAGATCTTGAATTCCGGATCACTACCTGATTAGGTTTGTTCCAAACCCCCATGCAAACCTTAGACCTCGAAACTTCGTAGGCTAGCACACTAAAGGAAGATCTGGACTGAAGTGTGTGTGTGTATTTATGCGTGTGTGTGTGTGTGTGTGTGTGTGTGGGGGGGGGGGGGGTCAAATATTGCAAATTTTTATAAGGTATAATAATCTTTATTGTGGTTTAATTTATTATTTAATTTCTAATACATTTGACACAGGAACTTGTCTCAGAATTTTTTTGTCCTATATACATTAATATAACACGTGTTATATTAAGGTATATAGGAAATTTTTTTTTCTGAGACAAGTGCCTGTGACATTTGAGAATAAAGTGGATGTAAGCAATTATAGGCAACCATACGGCCTTCAACAATGAGAAAAACCCATACCATATAGTCGGCTATAAAAGGCCCCGACATGAAAAATATGAAACAATTCAATTGAGAAAACTAACGGCCTAATTTATAAATATGTTATTCTAACTATTATCTATAATCGTTACCTCTTGATATAGTCTTTCACTTAACCAAGTACTGAAGTATAAAAATATGTCCCTTGATTTATGCCAAACTGCGGCAATATATGTTTCTTCCTTGCAAAGTAATTAATTTACATATTGATATAATGTTGTTTGGTGCAAACTGTTAGGTATAAACATGATAAACCTATTGAAATATCATTCCGATCATGTAAAACATGATTACTTAGATATAGGAAGATGTGGTATGAGTGCCAATGAGACAACTCTCCATCCAAGTTACAATTTATAAAAGTAAACCATTATACTTGTTTATTTTGACAAACATACGAGGTAAAGTAAAAAAAAACAAAAAACAATATGAATCGGAATTGATTAAATTGACAAAATAACACACTACAAGTTTTAAGAAAGGCACGAAACACATGAAAGTTCGTGCTAGGTAACTTAAATTACAGATGCAATTGAAACATATATCTATTATTGATTCAAAGTTAAAATTTGAAATGAAATTGACTCGAGGTCTGTTCACAAGCATTTTTAAGTTAAGGAAAACGGTGCGTTACAAAATTCATACACTATAACTAGCATCAAGGATTTGTAGTGTGTCTCACTATAAAATTCCTTGTAAGCTTACACATTAAAACGATTATAGTCGAAAATCGAATCACTGCATGTTGTCTGATATGTTGTCTGTTTTTGTTTTAATTAAATACGCGGCGGAGATCAAGAATAAACAGTCAAGGGTATACGTATATTAAACCAAGGAGGTTGTATGAGGTCTCATAAAACCTCCTGGATTAAACTAATATCCAAATTCATTTTAGGACAGTAAGTTTCATGTGATATCGAGTATGGATAGATCTCTCGATTAAGAAAACGGAAAATCCAAACATCTCTTAATCTAACACAATATTTCAAGAATTCAATCTAAATTTTACCACCATCACTACCAATACATATATGAAAGCTCAATATACCGGTAGATACAATATTGAAGTAGGAATAAATGTTGTCTTCATTTGACGTTCCTCTAATAAATGAAGATTTGAAATATATATAGTTTTGATTGATCTATTATAAACAATGTGCATGCAAATGTAAAGGTTTTTGCAATTTGATATGCGTAGCTGCATGGTACTGCACCGATTATTCATCGATTTATGTGGGTACGTGCATTGTTTTTTTTCATATGAATTGTTTGATTCTGAATTTCTGAAGAAAAACAATGTTTCGGAGGGAAGTGACTTCAAAAATTTGAAAAGAATAACTTAATAGTTTAACATTCATTTATAAAAAAAATATTGTTACTGTATCCCCCCTTTCTAAAAATAAATGACGGTTTGTCGTCTAATGTTTGGTTCAAATATTAAAATTTTCAAGTTAAATATCTTCTGTGCATGTGCATATGCTTAATTTATTTTATTTTCGTATGTTTTCATCTTCAGCTGTATGCTTTTTGTCATCATTTTCCTCAGTTTGAGTCTCTTCATTTGCTCATAACTGTTTTAGGAGTCCGTAGGTGACCTGTTTCAAGGCTAAATTTCTGTCTGCATCCAATATATCCTCATTTTCAAGTAGTATCCAAATTTTTCCCTATCATCCCGGTAGATCCCCTATTGCAGGACCTACCTATTGTATCATTGTTAATTTGTTCTCGTCCTGAACATGCATGAACAATTTGCGACTGGACAGTTAGGAATCAAGAATCAATCAATCATTGACTTGCTTATCTTGGTTTACATGGAAAAAAAACTGAAAACGCGATATGCAGTTTTAAAATAAACTATTATGTAATCAAAGCAAACATTTTTTCAAAAATATTGCCCAAGCTGTTTCCAGTGTTTCTTCACTGGTACAGCTATCTCATTGAATGTCTCTGTTCAATATGACGAACAGACCAGGGAATAGTCAGGTAGATAAACTGCAATTTTGTCAATTGTTTACATACAAACAAACACATAATCTTCTTAATTTATATCATAAAAAGTATATTTGTCCGAGGTTTTTAATTCACAGTAAATTTTCTGTTTACCTAGTGTAATAATGCTAATTTTTCGGTGAAAAGGATATGATAAACTCCTCAGATAGTGTCAGTAATGTCCTTCCTTTTATAATCCGAATTACCTTCTCAATCAAATTTACTTTGAACCTTTATGCACCTACGACAGTTTTTTTTGGGGGGGGGGGGGGGGGGAGGGCTTTGTGCTTATTGGTCTGTGGTATCCTTTCGTCCAACCTGTATCATGGTACTTGGAACTTAGTACAAATAATACTTTAATTTTAATTATATTGCCATATAAACAATTTTAAAAATATTTGTGACATTAACATACAAAAATATATGTATAATGGTGTAAACTTCGAAAAAAATATACGCCAAACCTACTAGCCGAGGTCATTTTTTTTTTGTGTTGCGGTGCATTGATTATAAGGAAATGTGCAAGTGTGAGCGGAACATTATCTCCCGTGAAAACAACCTCTTGTTTTATTAATACATTGATGGTTTGTACATCAACTCCTTTTAAAAAGAATATCTACTTGGAAAATGATTTAAATTACTGAATTGATTTTATTGTGACGGATGAGGCGGTTCCGATTATCCAATCAGAGATAGCATGCAACATACCGGTAGTCTGATATCTCCATTGTTTTCAAAGTGCACGTTAGGCTAAACAGATAAAAGGACAACAGCTAGCCGCGAATTTTTTTCTGACTTTTTGAAGAAAATTCAATCATACATGACTCCAACTCTGATTAAGATACAGATCATGTGTCAACGCTTCGGATTTGATAACATTTGGTTTGTATTATAAGTACTCGTTAAAGTGCATCTGAATATCGTACACATATATATGTAGCATTTATGATTCCAAAGTTACTGTCGATTTAAATTTTTTGAAATACTAGTAGTATAAAATTAATGTAAATATGAAAATAAGAAGATGTGGTATGATTGCCGATGAGACAACTCTCCACAAGAGACCAAATGACACAGGAATTTTGAAACAACTTTAGGTCACCGTTCGGCCTTCAACAATGAGCAAAACCCATACCGCATAGTCAGCTATAAAAAGCCCCGAAATGACATATGTAAAACAATTCAAACGAGTAAAGAATGTCTATATTAAAAATGTATATTAAATTATATTAAATGTTTTCACTTTCGCGTTTTCCCGAACATCCATCTACAGAATTTAGAATAAAAATGATAGGCTATAGATGTAAACAATTCCGTTCAAATGATATAAAATATTAGGGGTCACCGTTTTTGCTGTCTTACACATTTATGTACTAGTATGAGTATTGTATGAAAACACATTAAAGATTTTGCAGCGTGACGCCGTCACAACGTTACAATTAATATTGTCGTTTTGAACTTTTGTCACGCTTCATACTGAGAGAGACTATCGGTAATTGATCACCCCTGAAAAAATGAATCCGGTGACTCCATAATATTTCTATATCATTAAAACTGAAATGTTTACAGAAATTACATATCATTTTTAATATAAATTCTGTGGACTAATTTTCGAGAATTTGAATAAAATCTAAATCTTAGCGGCTTTTTACATACGTTCTATACATTTTCTATTTCACAAATATCTAATCGACTTTATCTTTCAAATTTTTTCGATTTTCAAATGCAGACCATCGAGTTTTCCATGCATACTAAACATAAAATCAACCCATTACATGTATTTTTCCTCAATCTAGTTATCTTTACATCTATCGCAACGATTGAATTTGACTACGACTCATACGTGTATTTCGTGGGTAAAAAGCAATTGACAATGCGTAGCTGACAATGCATGATTGTTAAACAGCATTTTGATAAATGATAACTGTTACAGATTAAATAAATGTGTCCAGAGTTACTGTTCTTAACACAAATTATTTGCAAAATTTCGCAGTTTTTTTTAGCAAACAAAAATAATAATTAGATGTTGTAACTTTGTTATATATACGTAAATAGTTACAGTTTCTTTGGAACACAACAACCACTAGTTGCAGTTGTATAATTGGACAGATTCACAATCATTAATGACGTAAAATGTTGTAGATTCTTTGTTGAAGTTTATCGCATAAGGCACGTTAATTTCGCTCGCCTTTATCACTACATCACTTGAAGAGCCATTATTCCTTATTCGACGAATTTCGGGTGGCTTCCTCATGCTATAATAAACATGTCCTTGTCTATCTATTGCTAATCCCGCTTCTCCTGTTACATCAGTCTTAAACACTATTTCCCCGGTCAGATTCACGTACCATAGTGTACTCGAGTTTCGACAAATAATAATTTCATTGGATTATGCTTGATTCGACATGGTATAGGGGTTTCCTCAACTGAGCCGATGGATTCGATTTTCAAATCATGTATGCCTGTTAAGGTCAGTTGAGCTCCAACAAAGGTCGAAGTCATCTCTTTAACTCGACTATCAATTGATTGGATTTTTTT